TTGGAAAAGTCGATTTTTGGCATAACCTTAGCTTTTATTAGTTATAAAAAATTGCAATGTTTATTATAAAAAATAATGCGAAAGTAATGAAAAAAGTAATGCTTTTTAACTCTGATAATATACGACATCAAGAAAATGCAATAGTCTTTGTAAATTTATTAGTGTTGTTTTATTTTAGAGAATTTTTATATAGAAAATTAATTATCAAAACACTACTAAAACACTATTAAATATTTATGAACATAACACCCGTAAATTAGCTCTTGAAATTTATAATAATCTATTGTGTGATTCTGTCGAAGTTCTTGCAGCAATTGAAATATTTTATGTTTGAATGAAAATATAGCATGTGAATAAACTATAGAATAAATTGTAAAGAGTTTTTTTTAAATTAATATAATTTTATTTTTTATTTACAAGATATTTATAATTATTTTAAAATAACACGTTTTTAGGGATATTAAACGAGGCAAACGTAAATAAGAGAGAAAATGGGATCACACTTCATTTGTATTCGTCATGTCTATATTATTTCCTTCAAGCGAGATTTCATCAGCGAGATGTTGCATCAACATTGCGTATCTGGAGCAAAAATTTTTACAATGCCGAATCAATGTCACTTTAATCACTGTAGATATTTTAAATCTATTTTTTCTGCTTGCATTTAGGATGCATTCCCAATAGAGTGAATCCCTATTTACACATGTATTAATTACTACAAAATAATATAAAAAAAATTTCTATAATTTAAATAAATTATTAACTGAACGGAATCATATAAGAAATGCAGTAAGAAATATGCACATTAAAATTTTAAATATAATTCACATTTATTCGGTAATTTTTCAAAATGACAAGTCATTCTAAAAGTTTTAGAGATTACATATACAATATATTATAAAACATTTCGATTTGTTAGTACTAACATTGTTATAAGCACATTCTAAATACGAGTTTGTGTTCTATATTTAAAGAAAAGAGAACCGAATATACAGAATCGGTAAAGGTGAGAAACTTTATAGTTACATATACATATTAAAATTTTCATATATCTACAATATCTGAAAATTATTATATATAAAGTAATATACACACATATATATATATATATATATATATAAATAATTTTAATTATTTATTTATAATATAACACAAGCTATATTTTGTATTCTAAATACTTCATATGTTTTAAAATGCCAATTTAAGAAATGACTAAAAATAGATCTCGCTTCTGTGAAAGTGTGATTTATTCCGTCGGACCTCACGATTTGCTTGTTTCTCTTTAGCGAACTCTGTATTTTCGATCATATATCAGTTCGAGCGTCAGAAATGGTATTAATACTTCGCCGTATTAATATTGAGAATATTCTATTCTTGATGAGATTTTTAAACAAATTATCGAATGTAAATTTGACGAAAAAAAATTATTATGATAAATTTGATAAATTAACATTTCATTGCATGATATTCTGTAAATTTGCCTGTAATTTGCTTTTTAAGTAATTGTTTGTTAAATGAATAATTTCTTTCTTTAGCATGACATCATTCTCTTGTGTTTTACGCAATAGTGGAGGTTTCGGTAAGTTAGTTGATTTTAAGATAGCCACGCTTATTGTTTCAGGATAAGTTTAATTTTCACATAATTTTTAATTGAAAACTTTATAATTTTTTCAAATTATTAAAATTGGAACTAATTATAGAACTACCAAGAACATATTTGAAAGAAATATTGTTTTTGTAACGATGATTATCTGATAATATTTTTGTAATAATTAATGCAGAATAATTATTATACAAATAATTAAATCATATATTTTGCTTTATATAATTATAAATATAATTTTTATGTTTTCAGAACAATGGATCTTTCGATAGCCTTTAAAATCTTTTCGTTTTATATTTTGCTAAGAAAGTATTTGTTTAATTTTTAAATTATACCGTAATTTGATTATAGAAAAGATGTTCGGCATCGTTAGGTATAAATTCTAATACGTAAAGATAGATTCGCCAGTGAGGGGCGCGATCGTATATATTTAGAAAAGTGCCTGGTTTGCCAGAACTGAGAGAGACTTACGTCTCGATGCTTCGCGTGAGATTTTCCTCCTCGGTGACTTTTCTCTTTTTATTTTTTCCTCTTTTGCTCCTTCTCTCGATTTAATAAGAAAATCATTGTAATATTTAAGCGCAAAGCGTATACATATTGTGTTACTATTTCTAACATGTAGATATAACCGCATGATTCTCTCTAGCAAATCTAATTTAGACAATTGAAGTTGAAATTCTGCACTGTGAAATTCTGCTGAGCGCCAAAATAAAAATATGACAAAGCACTTATACATATTAAAATATATTTATACATTTGTTAAGAAGTTATATGAGTTACATATAAGTTACATTTGTTAAATATATTTATACATTTGTTAAGAAATTATATGATTAACATATATAAATTTATAATTAAATGTAAAATTAATATTAAAATTTTTTAAATTATAAGAAATGTAAACAAATATTAAAGTATTTATTAAATAGATGAATACTGGAGTGTTAAATATAATTCTGCAATGTTTATAATATAATACTTAATTAAAAAAAATTTTAATTTTTAATTATAAACTTTTATTTCTAGATTTTTTAAAGTCTTTCCTATATTTTTCATGTAGTTTGAAGTCTTGACTTTCAATCCTACTTTCAATAAAATTCCAATTTATACGTAAACATTAATGGCATATTTTGATATTAGTAGCTAAATAATTGTCATTGCCTTTATGACTTAAAATATATTCTTTAAGGAATTAAATAGGAACTAAATTATTTAGTAGGAGTCAAAGATTTTTGTAGTGTTGCTTTTTTTAAATGTTAGTAAATCAAACTTAACGAAGACGTCACGACACATAACTCTGTTTTCAGTCTATCATAGGCCGAGCGTAGACAGTAGGAGAAAAAGATAAGTAACTTGTAATTATGTCGTTGCTCAAGACCCTCGTTGTAACGTTTCACGGGTGGTTTGAAGAAATATGTTTGTCAGGATATACAAAGTCATCTTACACGGCCACTCAACGTTGAGTTATGGCTATAACGTCCGCTTATATCAGGAGAAGAGACTTCTAAAATTATTACTGCAATTAAACGTCTCTTATACGAAATCGTTTCGCAAGAGTAAAAGGTGAATGATGTGTATCCCTTCATTGATTTTTGCAAATCTCAATCGACGATATATAATTTAAACTGTATCAAATATATATAAATGCAATTTGGTCATCCTATTATCTTTAAATGTTTACCGTACCTGTGATTTTTGTTACCGTAAAGAATTTCAGTGTAGACTGTTTATTTTCTTGTTATTTTTGTTCAACATTATGTGTCGAGTGACGATGACATTTAGTTAGACCTGACGTTTGACTAATCCAAAATAAATTAGATCTCTCATTTAATCAGTAGTTTCTATTTGTGATATATAATTTGTGATATTATAATTAATTTTAACAGTAAGATCTTATATTTGTATATAGTTTTATACAATAATTACGTAAAGAACCGTGCAATTTTAATTTTACATATTCGATTAAAAATAATATCAAGTTTATTAAAATTTTTCCTAATAAAATATTTACTCCAGACTGAATGAATCTGTCTTAAAAATTATGTAAAACATTTCTTGTATATATGTATATGTAACATATGAGATTTGCGCGACTAAATGTGACGACATTGACGGACTAAAAGTTTTTAAATTCCTTCGATTTCATAAGATTATGGATTTTTTTTGTTGTTTATTACTTATCATCGATTTTGCAACAAGCTGAAAAGCAATGAGATTCGATCGATGTATGCAATTGATTTTTATTTTTTTTTAAATCTTTCTGTCCAGAGACAAGAAAAAACGTATCTCGTGTTTCGCGCGAGTGTCACGATGCTATCTAATTTCATCACGGGGACGCCAACGTGAGAGATTCCATTCCGATGACTTTTCGCCAGTCATTTAGTTCCACTGTCGATAGCGCGGGTTCATTTTTAGATTCGTTGCCGACTACCACGTCCATATGACAAACTTGCCAGTGACAAGAAATAGAACACGCAAGTCACGTCAATGCGCTGAACGTAATGCATATACATACAGCCATTATATATAAATATAATATTAAAAAAAGATTCGAATAAAAAAGAGTATGAGTAACTTTGTATCTTTATGATCAGCGTGCTTTCATGATTATAATAAAATTTTATCAGTATGATAAAATTATTACAAAGGATTTTAACGTGAAGGTGTAGAAGAGTAGGATGTTAAGTACATATAATAGGATAATAAAAAAATTCGACTTACATTACTTATATAGGTAGATATATCTAAATTTTTTATTATGATTATAACAGTCTTTGATAATAATAAATTAATTATAATGAGTTTCTATAGAAAATCTCACTCGTGCGAATTCTCATATAACTCATTGTCGTCCTCATTAATTTTCTGACCTCATCGTATAAAAACAAACATTATTGTGTAACAGCAATGCGCCAGATATAAGAACTAAGATGAAATTCGGTGCGGCACGCGCGCCTCTGATTACGAAAGAAGTATAGCGTGTAATAAATGCTTTTTCTCGTCCTCTATGCTGTCTATCAGTCTCACTTGGGAATCTCCGGCCTTGGAAAATTCGCCAATGATACTTTTCGCTGCAATAATAAATTGCAATAGATTGCATTTTGTATTATCGTAGAAATCTTGGATACCGAAATATAAATAGATGATTTAAATGACAAGAAAATATTCTCAAAATATTCTTAGTAGAGTAATAACTTTTCATCAGCAGCATCACGCGGAAAACACGTGTCTGATCTGGTCGTCCCATTGTCACTTATCGGACGTGACTTCATATACTTCGATGGTATATCATACGTAGCGTCGCGGCGCCCGTGATCGCGAGCGTAGGCGTTTGTATGGCTTGACTGGGATGTAAGACAGAGGATTTCAAGTAAGATGTGGTAGTGGCGACGATAGTGGTGGTCGTGATGGTGGGCGAAACTCCAACCTCGAGATAGCTTCACGATACCTCGCGCGTTTAGTTGGCGCGCGGCACCCCGAAGATTGGGACGGCGGATAGAGACACTCCGTGCAAGTAAAAAGAGAGTAGGGTACGAGAAACAAGAAGCGAGATAGCGACGAGCGACCACACGACGAGTGACGACGACGACGCAAGACGAAGACGAAGACGATCGAATCTGAAAATAAGAAAAAAAGAGTTCCTCTTAATTTTCTCCGTTTTGTTCTCTGCGCGAGCTTGTAAAATTTTCGAGCCGAGTCTCCCAAGCCGAGTGTGTGCGTCTCATTGTCTGCCTCGGGTTGGAGTGATCCAGGAATAAGCGACTGTTCGCCGTCGTCAGGTGTCCGAAGAAACGCTCGGCCAGGTGCTGGGACTCGCACCTTTAGAAGAAAAAGCGCTCAGCCTCTTCTGAAGACACTTCAAGTAAGTCTCTCAATGATGCATTGGATGCGGATGCGCACGTTGTGTGGCTGCGAAGGAGCGTGCGTGACGATTGCCGAATTCACGCGTGTCAGTGCGATTTCTCGTCACAACTTGCCCAAACTCCTTTCAAATTCCTTGTTTCCCCCCTTTCATCCCTCCATCGCCTGTTGATGTTGTTAACGTCAAAGATCGCGTGTGGATCAGTGCTGAAGTGTGAGCAACAAGTGACGGATCGGTTTCGCGCACGCTCACCTACAGTGAGTGATTCGCCAGGGGGTAGGTGAAGGGACAAGTGGATTGAGGAGGTATGTCACGCTCTCATAAGAAAATGATCCAGTCCTCGTAGATCAGTCGTTCCTTCTTTCGATTATATAATCAAATGTATCCGCAGAAGCAGATATGATACAGGAGACGAACGAATATTAAAAATTGAAAGATCAAGAATTAAAAAAGGATGAGGGAAAGGAAGTGTTAACGAATCACAATACGCGCTGCAAGCTGCGACATCTTTCATTCTTGCTTCGATTTTGTCATATTTTATAAAAATGGAAAAATTTGCTTAATTTCTATTTAAATTACGAATTCTTGTTTTAAACACTTTATTCATCTATTTGTTATTTTTTTATGTTTATTTTTTTTTTATTTATATTATAAATTTTCAAGCAAGATTAAAAATGTAAATTGCGAAAACAAGACATTTTATCACGGTGACATTTGTAATTTTATTTTGGAGTGGACTGATAATATAGGTATGGATTTATCACTATGAATATTAAGTCTCATCTATGGATATTAAATCTAAGTCTTATCGTATTGATATTAACAATCCACAACATTAACATGGTGTAGGTTTTAACATCATGGCTTTTAAATACATCAATGGTATTAATATATCATGTTTATATCAACACCAACACGAGAGAATTATATAAGCGTATCGCATGATATTATTAAATTCATAACTTATTTTTTTAGAGTGATTGTTCTGAATCTTCTGCAGTTTATATGATAACAAGGGGTTAATTTCTGTCAACATTTGTATTTCTTTCGAACCTTTTTTAATGTTGCAATAATTTCCTCGTTGTGTTTTCGATTACTCTTCATCATTTTGTCTCATTATTTAATTATTAAGAGAAATTTGACTAAAGATTATGAAAAATCTGAGTCCTATTTCCAATAAGTTCACAATGTAGACGTGTCTCTCGCGCTCGACAATCCTATTTTACATGACTAATCGCCACGAGTTTCGTCGCGGCGGCGGCAACTATTCGTAGACTACTATCTAGGTATCTAGGCTCGGAGTCCACTTATTTTTAGGAGGGCGTAACGTGAGGAGCAGTTCGTCGTTCCTACGACCATCTTTTCGCTTGTGTCGTTGTTTCATACATCGTTTCGTCCATCTTCACATTATTGTACCGTCCGACACTTTGTCTAACGCTTCATTTGTCTTGTCTTCTCATCCACTTCCTCTCCTTGGTCTTTCGCACCTCGTATTTATACGTTAATTTTAGTTATTCGTTAATTCAAAGCCTTAATAGAAGTTTCATTTGCCCATTTCTTTCATTTCCATCTTATTCCAATTGTGATTCTAATCATGTGATATAAAAGAATATTCTAATCTATTCTAATCTCTCTATCAATCTATCTATTTATCGATTCTAATTTATCACAGATATAAATATATCTTAATTTGTTGATAAATTAATCAATTGTCTTTCCTTTACCGCTTTTTCTATATTCGTTGTGATTTTTATTTTCTTAATAATTGTTTAATAAAAAAGTACCAGTTAAATAGAATAATATCTATTAATATAATGCAACATTCTTTGCAACAGATGTGACAGAAACTTTCAGAAAAAGAATTTTATCAAGATTCAATTATACAGAAATTTTGAAAATGACGTATTTATTTTACAAAAATTTTTCCCGCTGCCGTAATAATTGCAGATGCTATAATTCTTTCTTCTGACTTTAGTGATCGATGAGAATCTCAGAATTTTAAATCTAACTGATTTAAAAATATCCCACATACCACAAGTTCTGCGAGTTTTGTTAAATTCGAAGAAGCCAGCTGGTAAAGAACATAAAGAAAAGTTAAATCAATACATGCGTTCTCATCTCGGAAAAAATTTTAAAAATACGATTAAATCTGACAAATACAATGTTAAAAGCAAATAAATTTCTTTTTAGTATTAAATGTACCTATATAATTATTAATTTATGTTACAATTATTAATTAAATTAAATTAAATAATTAAAGTATTTTGGTTTAATTCTTACAGTTGTTTTTAATATAAAGCGCTTAAGAGAATAATTTTAATTCTACGAAGATAAGAGAGGAAGATATTTTTTAGTGCAATTATATTTTTATTATTTTTAGATGTATCACTTTATTTGAATTCTTAAAATTTTTTCTAAGAATTTTATCTTGTAAATGACTTGAAAATTATTCTATGATCGAATTTATTAAACGCAGATATATTTATTTGATTGACTTGATCTGTTAAGAAGCTGAAATAAGATATTGTATTTCCTGTACATTATTTATAATTAAACTTGATATATATTAAGAACATTTTAAGAATGTTAAGCACCATATATGTGAACATTAAATATCATAAAGAAAGCCAATATCGATCAAATTTTGGATGTTACAAATAATACATTATATATTCTTTTATTAATATATACATTTTAATCGATTATTCACTCCGTATATTTATGCATATTGATATATTTTTGGACATTGTCGACATTGTTACATTGTTAGCCAAGCGACTCGGTTTACCTGACATCGAAGTCAGTTTTAATGTAAAATGATATTATTCTTGGCCGTATTTGTCTGATTCGAACTGACAAATTTGCTTCTTCTTTTTGACATAATTAATGTATCAATGTGTTTTTTAATAAAAAAAAGAGGAAAAGTTAATCATAATAATTATTAAATTTTAATAAATACTAATGCTAGATAAACCATTAAAAAATATGCAGTTTTTAATTTTATAATTTTTATTTATGAAATCATTTAACTTTGTAGCGATGTTGCAATCGTCCGATGTATCAGTATTTCATTTACAAATAATCTTATTTCGTTTACGTGATTAATTATTATAGTTTAAAGCTAATCTGATTAATTTACAACAGAAGGCTAACCTAGAGTCATATTCTTGACTTTTTTTTTTTAAATATTGCAAGACGTATTAAATAGATGAATAATTATTTAATGTTTGGACTTAAACATTTTCCGCGTATATTTTATTAAAACATCGTATTCTAATACATTTTAATATGATTAACAAAAGTTACAAGATATTTTTGCATTATGATTTAAATTGTTATCTTATTACTTCAAAATTTATTTCAATCTTCTATCATGTTTAAATTCGTTATTTATATATTTGTAAAATTATTTATAAATTGTATATAAAATTGGTATTCTTATTTTATTTTTTTACAATATCGCGTAAATAATCTAGCAATTAATGTGTGTTATTACATTAACTAAAAAATTATCAAGTGAATCTTTCATCACAGCGACGTCATTTAACATAATTTCTGATTTTGCGACCGGACGTTTTGCCTCATTCTGCCAAAAAGTCGAGTGCGAATGCTTGTTTACAGGATTTCTCGCATTTTATCGCGGATAGATCGGGACGTCGATCGGTGATTTTAGTGCTGCTGTCGACTCGTTTGAGTCAGTCGGCGAAAATAGATGCACGGTGCGTCGCAAGTAACGCGGTCAGTAGTATAGGCATAGTAGAGTGCGCCTGCGAAAATACTTCGTACGACTAATAATTATAACCCTCGCGAATAGAATTTAGTTCCGGATATGACTTCACCTTGAGCATAGACTACTATTCAGAAGTGAATCATTGCTATGTGACAAAAGTTTTTTTATAGAGCGTTAAACATCTCAGAAGCTAATTATAAAATTTAAATTTTTGATTATATTAAAAAATGTTAATTAATATATTATCCATGTTTTCTTCTTATTCAAGAATTAAAGTTACGGTGTATTGAAGCAATGATTTAATGATATTTAAAATGTCTTTAATGTTTTAATCCAATTTTTATTATAATACTATTATTGTTGCATTCTTTAAATATAATTTTTTTTCTTAATTCACGTTGTTATAAATTAAATTCCTTTTTCCCGGGGAAAGCATGTGATTAAAGATGTGAATCATTCTGCTACAATGCAGTACATTATATAGAGTGCTAAATATTTTTAGATTACATGATTCTTAAGAGTGAGTGGGTGCATAACAGTAGGTGTATTAGTCACGATTAAATACATAGTTAATTCGATAAAAATAGATACGGTATATTGAAGATTATTATTCGTAGTACAAATGTATCTTATATAAAAATTTAAATTCAATTTTATGTCAGAATGCTGATATCAAATTTTATCATTTCATATATATGTTAGAACGGTCGCATAAAATGTCTCGTAAATTCATGACGATGAAGAAAGGAGATTGCTACAATGCACGTGGCTCAGAAATTTTGCCAAAAGTAATTGCGTCTTTTTAACGATGCTGCTTCAGTGACAAACGCTCATTGAACATTTATTCCCATTGTGAGATTTTAACAGCTTACTACACTGCACTGTCCCATTCTTAATTTTTATTTTTCCCGTCTGTTTTCTCTTACCTTTATATCTCTTATATCTTCTTAACTTTATTAATTATAATATGCAGTCATAATATCGATTCTGTTTGTTTTATAGAATTGTTTCGTTATATGAAGCACTTATATATCTAATGATAATGTGCTACATTTTTATTGGGTCAAAGTATCAACAAATATGTATTGTATCACAAATAGCCGACAGAATTATGCCAAAGTGAAGCAACACTTTCTATATAGCCAGCAAAAATATTAGGTCAGTTGGATGCCGACATTCTCTCACGTACAATGTGCTGACATTTTCGAGGATTTGAATAGCACATTTCTCGATCGGTATCTTAACATTCTTAACGATTCTAAACATTTTTTATCGTTTTGCTTTACTTAAAAAATAGTAATATATTTTTTAAAACAATAACATAATTTTAAAAAATTTTTCTTAAATAATTTTTTAAAATAATTATTTAAATAATTTTTTATTTAAATAATTTTTTTAATAAGACACGATTAATATTTCCTATGAAATGCGTAAGTTCTAGTTTTATGTTTCTAGTTTTAATACAATAAACAAGTTATACATATTATTTAAATTTCCTACGTTATTTAGCTGAAAAAGCATTCAACAAGCTAAGTAAATTTCATAGGAGCAAAAACATATTACAAATTTAGAGAAATAAATGTTTGTCTTATTATTAATAGGAAAACAATTTTTCTCGCACGTTGAATTCTTAAATTAGTAAAAAGATTAATATTACAAAATTTTTTAAATCAAACTTTATGAATATTTTAAAGTTTTGTAACTCTTTTGTATTTTTTTTTCTTTTTAAAAACCAATCGTCGTATGATAATCGCAATGTGAAAATCAACGTGCAAAAGAGCCGGAATGCGAACGGCTGTTACGAAGTACAGTAATTTCGGGAATGCATGTGGAGGCCACTTGCCAAGTCTTACTATGACGTTGTAATACTCAGTCCGTCCGTTTTGTATGTCGTTTCATCGGTCCGTTAAGCTCTCCCTCGCATCTGCTTGATCTCGTCTAAAAAGATCAACTATAAATCGTAGAATATATTTCGATATTAAATCATCTTTCCGGAATATTATACATATACATACATATATATTACACATACGCACGCACGCACACAATATAAAGTAGCTGTAAAAATCTATTAAAACATTTACGTATAGAATTAATAAGTATTTCTTATTTATTATTAATTTTGGTTAATTAGAATTAGTGGATATGTAAATTTTCTTTGTGAGAAAAAGGAATAACGAAGAAACATCAGCTGCGTTCAGCAGAAAAAGCAGCTCTGCAACTGTTGTAAAATTTTTAGATTGTGATTGGTTTATACATTTAGATCCAGTGAGGAACTAAGAGTAAAACCAATCGTATTACAGAATTTTACAACAGTTGCAAAGCTGCTTTTTCTGTTAAACACAGCCATGGAATTTTTATACACGTTTAACATCAATATTGTCAGATCGATAGCTCCTTTATCTTTTCATTTGTGTTATAATTCGTTTATTTGGCACTTCTTGAGACAGTGCGAGCGAACCCAGGCGTATCATATTTCTATTGCCTGGCTGGAGCTGACATAATAGGATGATTTGTTTCACAATTTTGTGGCTCGGACGGTGGCAACCGACCAATTACGCGAATCTCACGTTACCGGAAGGATATCGTCTCGTGTCCCAACACCTACCCTTGCACTTGGCAGTCTTCTCCGGCACACATCACGCAAAACTAATTCATATCTTCTGAAACGATTGCCACCTATCACCAACATTTGCACAGCTTATCAATCAAATTTAGACTTATCTTATATTCTATTTACAATTATTTATGCTAATTAAAATTATACATAATTGCTTGAGCTTGTTTAAGCTGGCATTCTGTCACATTGATAAAAATAACAATTAGACATAGAATCTGAGAAATTTTCTTTCTTACGGAAAAAAGCAAACTAGAATATTAATTTTCTACTTAAATACATCAATTATTTTGTAGCTATAAACAATTCAAACTAACTTCTCTAATTAATTTCTTTGTATTTTTATTATTTTTTAATCATCAGCATATTTTGGTTCAACATAATTCCATCTCAATAACGTCACAATATTTTCTGATAATAAGATTTTCTATTGATTGATTGAAATGATATATAGAACATTTATGTTTGTTTATGTATTAGGAAATTATTGTTAGAAAATATAATAAAGTTGCAAAAGAAAAACAGGTGCAGAAAATTGGTGTCATCGTGCGTTAAACCACGTCATCCTATACGTCACATGAAAATGATCTAGTCACGTAGCTGGCGATCATTTAAGCGAATCGACACTTCTGGCACTTAAAGGCGTCGCGCGATGCCACGGGTTTCAAAGGAACGATTGTCCGGACTTGCGCGCGAACATATTACATCCGACGGGTTGTATCGCGACCCAAATGTACGCGGTTTCCACGGTTAGATGCCAAACATAATAACCGATTACCAAGATAACTGGCCCAACCTATTTTCGAGCCAAGAGCCGCATTAATAATAGTGGCCTTACGTCACCCTACGGTTCCCTCGGCCTTGGGATCTCGCGGGAAAATATTCGCTCAAGCTCGAAGAACGAGAGTCGCACGAATTCCGTGAAAATTCGTCGTTTGTCACGCTCAATTTGCAGTTAAACGTAATCGGTTTAATGGTTCTGTACATTGACGGTTCGGGATGATCTGTCGTCGCCATCGTTGCCGCCGTCACCACCGCGTTGGTACCTGCTGAAAATAGGCCCGACACTCGTAAATTACGAGATCCTTTTAACGTGACGATAGAGGAAAAGCAGGCGTCGCTCATTTCCATCGTAGTATTTCACATGAAATTATTATTAGACCGACACGAAAATAATTTGCAATTCATATTTTAAATTTCGCAAAAGAAAATTGATACGTACAGTTTTTACGATATTTTTTTCGTGGCACATAATGGTATTTACTATTCTAAAAAGAAAATTTATATCGAGCGAACATTAATATAATTACAATCAATGATAGATTGATATTTCTTTAGTCTGTAATTAGATTGTCAGTAATTAGAAACAGAAATAAAAAGAAGTTTCAATATTTCTATTACTTGAAGACTTCAAAAACATTTTAATTATTTTATTGATTTTATATGTACATTTCAAGATATTACTGTAATGTTTGACAAGATAATGTTGCATTCTGGCGAATGTGTAGTTTTTGAGAACTTCGGTCTCTGTCGCTTTGAACGCTCTGAAAATACGAACGATCTGAAAATACGAACGCTTGGCAAAATATATCGTCAGAAACACCTGGATACTAGATAAACCATATTGAAACAGCACGCATATGCGTAATTTATTATTTTGGAAGGATTCGCATTTTCAGCAGCTGAAAATCGTAAGAGCAAAATCACAATCTACAGCCAAGAGTTGAAGAGCAATTTCGGGTTTCGCTCGCGTTTACTGCGAGAATACGACGATCGTTCCGTGCTTCCTTTAAATTATGTAAACATCTATTTTAAATTTATTACACACGATAAATTATTCTTGAACGTTTTTTCACTGTCGCGGCCGAAGAGTCGCTTCATTTCGTCGGTTCCTGGCGATCTTCCCTTCCAAGATCAACCACAGAGACAAAGCCGCGTTTAATTCCAAAAAACTTTATTTAACAGTTCATATTTCTTTCAGCGTTTTTCTAATTTTATTCGTATAATTGATTCTTTCTGCGTCTTATAATGATTGAGAGCTAAAAATTGTTTCCACTTTAACTTTCCTTCGTCACTATACGTATTCATTCATCTAGGATGAGTACTCACGTAGGAACCTCATCATGTCTTACCACGTTCGTAAGGCGACGCTAAAGAAGACTAAGTATAGTATATCTGTATAAAAATAGCTGCGGGTGAGAGAAAGGTAACTATAGGTGACAACAACTCAGGCTGCCAAGGTTTACTGAACCACGATGACTAGACTCGAAGTATAATCGATGCCGTCACTCTGAACTCTGAACTGCAAATACTTGTTGAGCAAAACAGAGTAACAATATTCGAATTAGTCATTATTTGTTTAATGACAAATAAACATTTTGATGGGATAAAGATAAACAAGATTGTGTTCCTTGGTGAATTTTAACTTTTAAAATAACTTTATATCTTCCCCGTCAGAATTTTAGTATAACAAATCAATTACTAATTACTATTGAATTTAAAAAATTCTAAAAAGAAATTATATTTAAGTTTTAGAAAATATAACTAGAAAATATAACTACATTAAAACAAATGATTTATGTCAGAGCATAATGCTTTTATTGTGGCAGCGAAGATTAATATGTATGTATATAGATATGCATTTTAGAACAATATTGGAAATAATGCATATGTAGCTATTCAATAATCTGTATATTTCAATCTTCTCTATATTTAGATCTTTTAAAGAAATTATTTAACTTTCTATATATATGAGTGTTATAAAGTGGCTAAGTGTTTCAAAATTTAATAATTAAACTATGCCTAAAAATAAGTGTTATATATAAATGTTGTATAGGTTCATATATTGTAGAAATTTTATTAAAAGTTACAATTAAAAAATGTGAAAGTTTAATGATCTGGAAATTTAGTGCAATTTAGATATCTCAGGATTTAAAACCTGGGACATCTTGTATATTAATTGCCATATTAATGTAATGTATTATATTTCTTTCGCTTCTAGTATTCTCAAAAGTTTGTGAAAAGCGAGTAAAGGTGAACGTCGAGCTCAGAAGAAATCCGCGACAGAAACAGGTTGGATGGTGCCGCAGGTAGGCGTCATTTAAACCGACGAGCTGGGCGAAGGAGCTGTTTCCTTCCTTAAGTCGCGGGTGTGAACAAGCAAACGGGATCTTCCAGATCTCATTGTAAAGACAGGTGCGAAGGCGTGCCTCCACGATGGGGGTCGCCGACGACTTCGCGCCCAGCTTTACGCAAAAGCCGCAACTGCGGCAGGAAGACGACGGCAACCGGCTGATATTCGAATGTCAGCTAGTGAGTTCACCTAAACCCGACATTTCCTGGTTCCGCGGCGAGACCGAACTTAGCGAAGATGACAGGACCAACTTCAAAGTGCAGAGTGTCGGGACCAATAAGTTCCTGGTGGTGCTCGAGCTCGACGACGTCATCGAGACCGACGCAGGCCTTTACAAGGTCAAGGCGAAGAACAAGATGGGCGAGGTCGCTGCCTCTATCAACCTCAACTTTAGTCGTAAGTATTTATAGCGTATTTTCTTTTTTTGTTTCCTAATTATTTCTCAAAATAATAGCCATATTTTTATAAAAATAAAATTACATGTATCATGAAATTAATCATTCTGTCAATGTATAATTTTTTATCTTTACATTACTGTATTTTACAGTTTCTTTTAAAAATATAAAAGTGAAAGCGAGACAAGTCTGTGCAAAAAAACTGTTCTTTGTTATTCTATGTTAAAGAGAATTGAAACATTACAATAAAATTTAAAAGTAAAATATAAAAAGCGAGTAAAGACAAAATATATAAAAATTTTACTGTTATTTGATACGGGTACCTATATATATTGATCGAAAGATTAAGTAGGTTAGTTTGCACTGATCTATTAGGGAGATGTTTTACTTATAACTCATTCTTTATTTACTTTAAATTTTAGAAAATAGGATACAATTGATTAAATCACAATTAAAGTTAATTAATAAATTAATAAAGCAAGTAAAATGGATTAACTACATTATTAGAAATGTAGATCTATTTTTTACGAAAAAATTAATTTTTTATATTATAATAAATTAACTTTGTTTTTAATTTGTAATAAAAAATATTGATGATTTTAAATATTAATTTCAAATTGATATAAATTTGCAAATAATTTTTTGTTGAAATTTCTTTTTACATTGTTTTTTGATTAACATTTTGCCATTATATTTTTCTAGCAATGGATGAGCCTAGAGAGAAGTAAGTCAATTTGTACTGAGAGTAAGACTTATTTGTCGCTTCTCCAGGCTCTGTTTAACTTGTTTTAAGCTTCGCGTTTATGCACTAATGCGTTTCTATTGTTTCGCCATCACATGTTTTTTCTGCTTTATTTCTGTTTCTGCTTTTCTCGCTTATTTCGTTGTTTTTCGTTTTTTATTTATGATTTTAGCTGCTGATCAATCCGTTGGAAGAGGGTGAGAGCATTATTTACGCTATGTTTTGTAACTACTAATTTGATAATTAATTTGTTAACATAAAACCAATATAATATCATTTTTTTCACCAATTTTTTAATAAAAAAAATCAGATATGACGATAATACTAAAGAAAATTTCATAACATATGTATATTACAATTTCCTTTTATCTCTCAAAAACTTGAGAAACATTTTAAATCCTGCAGTCTGTAATATCAAATAATTTTTCTATTGAATTACATTTCTGATTTACTTATTCACAAAGTGAATAAATCGATTACAAATTCCTTATGAAAATTTAACGCAAAGTTTAGAAAGTTTTCTGCAGTTAAAATAAACAGTTAAAATAAACAGTTAAAATAAAATTTCTATTTCTTTAGTGCATTATTTACTATTACGCGCTATATCTCTGCCGATAACGTCGAGTGTACGTTAAATCGGCCTGACCGAGAATAACCGTGGTATGTCCGCTATTTTCGATCGCATTCGCACCACGTACTGTACAATTCGATAGAAATCACGGTGGCTCGCTGCGTTAGTTGGATGATCGGCCGCTTCTTACCAATCCACCCACGCAGATAGAACCGCAAACACGAAATGCGGATGGAAATAGAATTAAGGTCTTCTAGTTTTGGATACCACTCGTGTTTCGCACGCGCAATCCGACCACAAAGTGGCCGAATTATTTTGGATGTTATCTTTCGTGAGAGAGAAGCCACTAAATATCGTCCGAACTGCGATTTGTCTATATTATAGCTATGGAGTGATCAGATTAAGAGAGAGAAAAGCAAACAATTGATTAAACTGTAGTTGAACTTTGATAAAATCTCAGAGAAGGATGAAAGAGTGGAAAAGTATAACAAGTATATAAAAATCACAAATTAAATTACAATTGTAGAAAAAAATTAAAAACGTTTATTTATGTTTAATTGCACAATAAATCATAGAGACGCAGTAAATTTTTAAAATTGTACTAATAAGTTGCATAACTTCTTAGAAGCACTGATTTCTTGTATTACTTTATACATTTGGTGTCACCTCAAAAAAAGGAAACATATTTCTTTAATAATACGATTATATTTTAATAGTACAATTATGAAGCGGGAAGCTATTCTTATCTTCGTAACATTATGATAATAACAATTTACTGATGTAGCACAACTGGCAAATCAATTACGAGATATTTGTGCAATCTGCACGAGCGGAAAGCATTTATCAGTTCCTAAATCTCTTTTTGCATCCTGCTTGCAGTTATTCCTGCATCTCATTGCGACTTTAATGACTTTCGAAGATAATTCGAAACTGGGTCGACAGTGTTCTCGACGAGTTCCCTCAAGTCGCAGACTGCGGCGACGACACGACGAGAAGCTATATTTCGGGATCGCATCGACAGACATGATTCCCGTGAATTTCTAAAAGTAACGCGAGCCTTTCCGCTTCCACGCGTCTCCTGAAACGTGTCGCAGATCACGTTCCATGATGCTTATCGAAAAAAAATTCGGTCAATTGCGAGAAAGATAATTCACTCAAAAGCATAAAATGTATTCATGAAAAATCCGCGATATTTTGAACAATAAAATTTTTAGTAATTTGCCTGACAAATTCAACAAGGCAAACTGTCAATCGAAAGTAAAAATTTGCAATTTATAAAAATCGAATCGATTGACGAGAGTGAAAGTCGAGAGAAAACAGCTGCAGCCTACTTCCATGCTAAACTTAGCCACAACATGCACCCATGCTAATGTACTTATGGTCCATTTGGGATGCAAGTGTTAGGCACGTGCCTCTTGGCTCTTAATTTGCAAGAATAAACATTGGTGATCATAACTCGAAACGCGCGACTCCATTGGCAAGAGTAATTTAGAAGAGAGACGGTGAATTATAATGATTTTATTTTTAATTTAGAAGGAAACTTGCAGATTAAAAATTTGTGAGTTTAAATAATCGACAATAAAGCAAGATAATTGCTTGATTGATTTTTATAAGTAATCTTTATAATGTAAAAAAAACAGTTAATTTTGATTTTTTTGAGAAAAGTAAAAAAAAGCAATGTTAAGATATATGTATAAATTTCACAGGAACAGTCGTTTTAGAGATTATATTTATTCTTTTGATTTAGCTTTCTACTTTTCTGAAAATTTTTCTGAAACAGACATTTAACTGTCGACAAAAATATTGGCGCCAAGAAAAATAGTAATATCGATTATATGATGATGTACCGAATTTTAAAATGGTTGTTAGCTGTCGAAATCAAAATAAGTTGTTCGACAAGTCCCTCACGAAGCATCGACTAATAAAAACAAAGTTATTTTTGGCAGCAATTTGTGAAAAGCGTGGTAAATTCCAAAGCGTGATAAGTCCCAAAGCTGCTTTTCTCTTATTTGCTCAAATATTACCATCTTCCTTATTCTTATTTTATTTAGTATTAATATTAATTCTTCTCTAATAGAAATCCTAATTATTTTAGAAATGAAGATATTACTAATTTTTTTTACTAATTATTTAGCCACAATGCGTATACATTTTTACGACTTAAAGCATGTGATTTGTTAATGATAGATGTGATCTTGTGTCTTTTGGTTCGCTAAGGTGTTGGTCGATCATACCGGAAATGAGATTAAAATCATCAGCAATATCCTACGGTATGTTTGTGACGCAACATCTAAATTTTTGCGTTGATTCGCTGTGATTTAATTTGATCAACGCTTTAACGAACGATAAATTTATGCGGATATATTTCCAGACTCTCATGTTTATTTTGCGCTTGTAGACAAATTGACGGCATCGCGCCGACTTTCGCGAAGAAACCCGCGATTAGACAGGAGGACGACGGTAAACGGCTGTTGTTCGAGTGTCGTATCACAGCCGATCCCACACCGAAAATCACATGGTTTCATACCGGGAATATGGTGAAAGATTCGCCGAGGCACAAGGTTCGTCATTTTCAATTACGATCCACCACGTACAGTTATAATATAAATTTAAAAGAAGCCGAATAATAAAATTCAATTTCATTTTTCTGCTTTAGATGGTTTTATCTATAATATTATTACATGTGTGTAATATTTAGTTTTCCGAATAGCTTCTAAATAGTAAAAATTAATATTTGCTTAAAGCGTCTTTTACGAGAAAAATTAGGAACATATTCGAAATAATTTAAGCGCAGTAACAATTGCATAGTAACGAAACCGTTTTATATAGTTGACTGTCGATAAAGATGGCCACTCGTACTTCGCCACTCTAGAAATAAAAAACGTGACCGTCGAGGATGCTGGCAAATATAAGGTCACGGCGAAGAACGAGCTCGGCGAGTCTAACGCTACGATTTCCCTGAATTTTGACAGTAAGTATCTAAAGTTTTGCGACAAATAACCACAAACCCATGTATACTTCGACCGATGATCCGCTTTACGTTTTAATATTCACCTGCTTAATTTTTTTCAGAAGTCATACGCTCATGATTCGCGTAATTTTGTTAATAATAAGTTTCCTTAAATTATTTTTAGCTTCAATTTGTTTTTTATATCAAGCAGGCATTTTAAAATATTTAATTTTTATGTAAAAAAAATTCTATTGTAATTTTTATTATTCATTTTTTGTAATAAATTTCGTTAAAGTTTTAGAAATAATTTTTTAATAAGTATTTAATAACGTTTGATTAACTGTATTTAATTTTTTAAATTTCTAAAGTAGCGAATATACATTTTCCTTTATCCCTTTCCGCGTTGCCTTGAAGCGGAAAATAAAGTGGATCATCGGCACCATTCCTCAACTCTTCTCTTACATTCTCACTCGGGATGTATATCGATGATTCTATTTCATTTCTGACTGTCTTCATCTCAATTCTCTGCCCTATTTATCTATATCCTTCATGTCGTCTCTACACCAACGTATATCCGCAGTTTATTATTTAATTTTTTTCCGTTCCATCAGCAGTCCATTCTTCAGTCTCTTTCATTGTAAATATATGCGGAAACATTTATTTTTTAATGGTTTGTCTCAGTCGAGCGATGAGCACGTATCGATATCGGCTCGACGCGAGCCACGATATACAGCCCGTTGATTTGATCTTAATCGACTAAACGACATTTTTTTCTTTTGCGAGAGAAACACACATTTGTTGTTTGTCTCTCATGAATTTTGCACCGTAAAAGTTGCGTAGAGAGCGGATCAGAATAATCAACTTGTAACAACGCGTGTACTGCTGCTTCAATCACGTATTAATTCGAATCGCATCTCGCGCCGAGATTAGAGACATTACTTACGTCTCGAGACGAATTAACCCGGATCTGCAATAGATTTTTGAGCCTTAAGCCATAAGAAATGAACGAATTATAATTATTGTCATCGTATTCGACTGTAATTTGTCAATTTCTTACGGCTTATGGCTTAAAATACTTGTTGTAAATCCGAACTTATCATCTATACTGATGCACGAGATGCGATTATAGATTAGCATTAAACATTATTGACGCTTCGTTAGGTTGCTTCGATGACATCTTTTCTCTCTATTCATACGATCACGTTTGCCGTGTGTGAATATCTACGATAAGCCTCCGTTTGCATTGGCAGTCTTCGGATGCACTGCGTCCATTACGTCGCTCACACACACGCAAACGCAATTATACGAAATTTCTGTGGTGGTTAGATCTAACAATATATATTTCCTTACTTGCACACATTATCATTTGTGATTTCGCACTTTTAATTCCAACAGAGATGTCACGTCTTTCTTTTTGACTGCAATTGCACAAAATTAAAATTAATATTACTTATAAGTAGAATTAAAACATATCATTATATGTAATATTTCAGAATCAAGTATGACAGTATTATTGCGAGTGCATCTCAGTTGCATTATATGTTATATAATATTCTTGTAAGAATTATTTATATATAAAAGACTTTTTTAAATACACTTTAGAAATAATCCCAATCTAAATGTATATGCTTTTATAGAATTAAAATTTGCAAGTACGGAAATGTTCTTGAAAAATAGTAAAATACGTAGTTAATGACGACGATTCTAATATTGTATATACTCACATATGTCTTTGTCACATGCTTCACTAGTCATTCTCATCGGCTAATTCGCTCGTAGAGATTTTTTATCAGTAAAACAGAAATGTTTGAAATTATGTGTTGCTCTGTCATAATGTATATATTCACATCATCGATTAATGTCACGTATTTTAATCGACACAACACGGAAACACACTACTTTCTTTGTACGCGGTATTCGCGATTTCAATGAATCGTAATTATTGGAGATGGAATGATGAAATTGAAATTTCTCGATTAACATTAATGCAATCGAATTGTTATGTCGTGTCAAACGATCGTACACATTACACTCACTCACTCACTCGCAAACAGCGTTTGACGAAATGCTTGTGCATAACTGTGCAGTGTTCCTATTTTCATTTAACTGCGCGCGCGTTCGTCCTCAAAACCGTACGAGAGAAATGGAGCAGGTGACACAATTTTATGAGCAACCAAGCGGAACATTGCGAATAGATGGAAGGAGAGTAGAAAAAGCAACCTAATACATAAGATATTGATCGACAAGGATCTTGAATCCTTGAACGTGTATTCCTGAGCGTTGGTTTTAGCACACTCGTTATATGCGACGGTACGAATAAATGAAGCAATTAAATCGATCACATAAGATAAAGATTGAATATTGAATAGATTAATGTAAATTAAACTGCGATATTCTTATTTAGTAGATAAATATTTATAGTACGTTTAGAAACTTGAAGACTATTTAAGCCAAATCGATACGTGACTCCCGATCTCGCATCGAACTAGAGTACGATCGAAACTTTTGCCGAAATTGAACCGAAATACTCGGCTACATGTCAATTTCAACCGAAATCAAAATTTAAAAAAATAGGAATTCTATAAAGGCCATACAGATACGCTCATATATCATATATATTTTTTCTTCAGAAATATCATAATTGATTGAAACAATAATTAAATTTCGACCGAATTCGAAAACCGAAATTTCGATTGTGTGTCAATTTTGGTCAAAGAATATAAGTACTTCTTCTTCATAAACATTATAATGTAATTATTGAAACAATAATTACACATATTAAAATTAATATTTATGAAGAAGATATGGTCTCAGTCGAAACTGATACGTAGTGAGTGCTCGTTTTCATTTTCGGCAGAAGTTTCGATCGGACTCTACATCGAACTGCAAAATGCTTCGCGTATTTAAGCCTTTCGCTGCAGAATCATTTTTTGTGTCTCTCAAAATTAGTTGATCAGTCGGAAAGTGATTAAAAAATTAAGATTTTATTTCTCTTTTATTTCTTTTTAATGTAAATAATATTTAAACGGTTGTTTTGAAGAAAAGGAAGAAAGTTTATTTTCCAAATTTTTTTCTACACTTTGAGATATTTATATGAGACTTAATTGAAAAAAATTTTGCGGAATGGTATCTTTAATTTAGAGGGGAACATGTGTTTTTGGATTCTGACACTAATTATTGCAGTGAAAGGATTGAGTAGGCAAGCAAGTGTACGAACAAATTTCGACATGTCGATCGTTTGTGTCGAACGTAGGCGACGAGGCACCCGTACCGGATGACGGTATTAAACCTACCTTCACCGAACGACCGGTGATTAGACAATCCGACGACGGTAACACCATCACCTTCGAATGCCGACTTGTCGGTGATCCGAAACCAAGTGTCAAGTGGTAAGGTCTTGAAATCTGCGACGCGCGAGAGGAAGTAGTATCGAAAAGTGTTATTGTTGAATTATTGGAAGAGACATGAATTAAAGACATTCAAAATATCGACTAGATATATAAAATTGAGAAAAGAAATAGTGTCGAATTGAAATTAAGAGAAATTTTGCGTCAAACTTTTCCTACAGAGATTGTCTTCCAATATTTTTGAAAGATATAATGTACTTGTGAAAGGTACAATGTTTAAAACTGATATTTTCAAATTTATATGCACATACTTACATATCGTGTTTCGAGTATAAAAAATTTCGATAGTGTATCTTGTCTTCCGATGGTTCAAAATTCAAAAGTACGATATTACTTCCGAACGCACGGCCCGTGACATGATCAATATCCGGCGGTTGCTTCGATTTGGCATTTTGGCGGCGATCGCAGGTATCACGGTACCGAGGAAGTGAAAGACGGCGGGCGATTCACCACATCACTGGAACTTGATCAGAAGCTGTACCATCTCGCAAGGCTGAGGATCGACAATGTGGCAAAGGGGGATGCGGGCGAATACAGGGCCGTGGCAAAGAATAAGCATGGCCAGGGGGTAGCGACTATTAATTTGAACTTCGAAGGTGGCGACAGGCTCAAGTAGGCATCGAAAGATGATCTGTCTTCGACATCAATTATTCTGCTGCGCCACGAATCGATAGACACGCTCTTTTCCGGTTTGACGCGGCGCGAAAATGCATTGCACTGCAATTTTATTCGATTTATTGAGCTGCAAAAGTACAGCAATAATTTAGTGTAGTTTTTTAATAAACTGCCATATAAAAATAATGATAACAGTAACAGTTATAATAATGGTTGATTTTTAGTTTTTTTATTAAAACAAAATTTATGACAAGGTAATTCATGAAAACGAAGTATGTTGAATGAAAAGTACATTGTACTTCTGAAGAATTATCTCGTTAATACTATTAAAATTCTTCACATTTATTACATTCGGTTGCGCATTTAAAATATAGACTCCGTTGTAAATTAAATATGTAAAAACAAATGTATTATAAAATAGAAGTTGAAAGATAGTCGATCAAATTAAAAATGCAGGTATTTGCAATTATTAATTTACGCTTTTTCTAATTCTTTAATTTTTTAAAAAATATTAAAAAATTTAAAAAAATTATTTTCTTATAAATCACAGTATTATTATAAAAATGCATATCCTTTATATAAACTAAAAATTATTAAAAATGTATAACTGTAAAAATATAATTTATCTTTATAAATTTACGAATGCCTGCATATACAGAAGTTGCATGCTCTTTTTTAATTAAAAAAACGTAAAATTGTCTCTTAAAATTAAAAAAATTTTGATAAATTAAGATTTAATTAAAAGAGAGCCTGCGACTTTTACGGTAACACTTTTTCGTAACATTGCGTCGCGTTTTCGGAAATATTGCGTGGCCAGCAGGTGAAAAATAACGTTATCCACCGAGATGACTTTAGATTCTGCGTTCAATCAGCGAATCGACGAATTTTTCGTTTGACAAGTCGATTTACGCAGAATACCGGACGGTAAGCCGCCGCGTTTTCCGAAGAAGCCAACGATCCGTCAGGAGGGCGATTTACTCATCATGGAGTGCATTCTGGAGGCACATCCGGTGCCGGACATAACATGGTACCAAGGTCAGAAAACGATTACCGACAGTAATCGCGTGAAGATGTCACGCAAAGCAACCGGCAAGGACACATATCTGCTGACCCTCGAGATCTCAAATCCGACCAAGGCTGACGGTGGGAATTACCGTTGCAACGCCTTTAACAACTTCGGCGAGAGTAATGCCAACATCTCCCTCAACTTCCAAGGCAAGTCCCCTTCGAAGCGTACGAGAAGGTTTTTATTGACATTCCGAGATATTTATCATCAATATCAAATGCGCTTCAAAAATTAGAAAAAAGTTATCAGTTCTTTAATCTTTAATCGCAATTCGTTACAAATAATCTTTAAAAATCTGAGAACAGCAACATAGTATATATGCACAGTTAGGTACATAGATATATTCTTTTGTTTTATACAATATTAATTTCAAAGTAATTATATTTTTTTGTTTTTCATGTTTGTTTAAAATTACAAATTGCTCGGACAATGAAATCCCTTTCGTTTACTTCGTCCATGACGAGTCCTGTCGACTTTCCTCGTATCTCCTTCGTGCACAATGCATTTTATAAACGCGCGGAAAAGACGTACAAGCGATTTTTCTCGGTAAACGATCGCGATCATTTCATAGATCATTTCATCAGGTAAGCACAGCCGCGCTATTGCTAACCAATCGTGAAGTCTCTGTATCTTCGCTTCATAACTTATTCAGCTGCCAACAACATGACTAACGTCATTAAAAGTCGCGGTCGCGGGTCATCGGTGACCCGCGACCGCGGTAGAGATCGCGTTTCTGGTGTTCTGTTGCACACCTGGAACCGTCTCTCGTATCTTCACCGATGATATCTAACCTTGGATCTTTCCAAGATGCAGAGGAGGGAGCGGGTTGCGCTCCGTCCTTTATTGAGAAACCTCGCATCATCCCGAACGAGACCGGTACGCTTATTACCATGAAGTGTAAATGCAAAGCGAATCCCAAGCCGGAGGTCACGTGGTTCCGTGGTACCAACGTGGTCAAAGAATCATCGAAGATCTCGATCAAGTCCAAAACGATTGAGGAAGATGTATATGAACTTATCATGGAAATAAAGGTAATTCTATTCTCTGCTTTGTTAAAAGTGAAAATAATTTTAATTATTTTTATTTAATTATTATAATAATTTAGATTTCTTCTTTCTGATTATTGATGTGAATATATAATATTAACAGATTGTATTTTATTAATATCTAATTTTTAAATCTAAAATTTTTAAAATTATTTTTTGATAACAGGATCCATCGGCACCGGACGGTGGCACTTATAGGTGTCACGTGAAGAACGAGTACGGCGAAAGCAACGCTAATCTGAATTTGAATATCGAGGCGGAACCAGAACCAGAGGGAGACGGACCGACGTTTGTAGAGAAGCCGCGGATACAGTCGCAAAACAAAGGCAAGCTCGTCATCATGGATTGCAAAGTGAAGGCGAAGCCGAAGCCACAGATCGTGTGGACTCATGCAGGCAAAGTGGTAAAGGAGTCCTCGAAAATTTCCATTAGCATTGTTTCAGAGAAAGAGGACATTTATTATATCAAACTAACTCTGAACGATCCTGGACCGGATGATTCCGGACTCTATAAGTGTAACATTAAGAATGATCTTGGTGAACTCAATGCCAATCTTACACTAAATGTTGAGAGTAAGTTCGCATATTTTATATTATACGTTATTCGATATGTGATAACAGTTTAATTAATTTTTTAAATATAAAATAATTAATTTAGATTTAATAATTCAATTTTTGTTTTAGTTGTTAAAAATAAAGATCATAAAATATAAATTAGAAGTTAGATTAAAATATTAATATTTTTTTATTGTGATTTTAGTTATACCCGTAATTAAGGAAAAGCCGAAGGTGGTAAAGATCGTTAAAAAGAAAACAGTCGTAATTGAATGTCACGTTCTTTCTCAATTCGCGCCTGATTGCACATGGTTCAAGGAAAGTCAAGCCGTTAAAGAGGATAATAGACATAAATTGCACGTCGAGCAAGTTAAAGAAGTGAGTTTTATACAATAAAATTATCCAATATATTTATTATACTCTATCATGTGATATTGTATTAAAACGATTAAAAAGAAATTTATTTTAAGTTTAAAGTTTAGTTTAATAAAATAACTAGAAAAGAATTATTTTTTTTACATTTGTTTTTATTATTTTTTTTATGTTTATTGATATTATGTATTTAATTAGAAAGTAGCAGTTGAATACTCAGTATACATTATGACAACATAATCATTATTTAAAAAATTATTATATAAATTTTAATCAATTGATTTCTTCAAATAGGGTGAATTCACTATAAAACTTGAAATTGAACAAATGTCGACGACAGATAAAGGCACGTATAAATTAGTGGCACGCAATGATAAAGGCGAAGCCACATCACAAGTAGTAGAAGTGACGGAAATTCCAGACCAAGGAGAAAAACCCAAAATTGTTACCGGCCTCAAATCAATTGTAAGTACTTTTTATTTTTTACTGGTACTCAAAAGTTAAAATACAACGCTTTTTTTATTTAACATTTGTTTTCATAAAAAAATATTGTTAAAATAAAGTTTCCTTTATTGATATTATGCGCTGTATATAATACTATATTTCTAGACTGTCGAGGAAGGTAAAACGGTCGAGCTCGTCGCAATTCTCGCAACACAAGATCGAAAAGTCACTGTCACGTGGTATAAGTATGTATTTAATATAAAAATTAAGTTTTAAATAATTTGCCAATTTTGTAACAAAAATATTATATTTTATTTAGAAATTTTATAAAATGATTTTATAAAAAGAATAGTCAATATTATCTAAAACAATTTGTCTAATATTTGATAGCTGACATTCGTGCATTTTTTTATCAACTGCCTGTTCTTATGTTATAAACTGTTTCAATAAATCTTTATAATTGTTGCAATAATAATTTTATAATATAATTATAGAAATTCTACAGTCATCAAAGCGTCAAAAGATATCATGATTTCCTTTAACGGCCTGGATATGAAATTGACTATCACCTCGGCATCGACAGAATTCTCAGGAACGTATAAAGTCACCGTGAGCAATGAATACGGTCAAGATGAGTCGTCAGCTCGTCTCGTCGTCAACGTAAGCAATTTTAATCTAATAATTTTCAACCATGAATTTATCAATAACGGATGCAAGTTTTTTAGTCACTTTTTTTGTGTTTGTATAAATTTATGTTCCAATATATTACAAGAAATTCGCGTTTTCATGAAAATTGACAATTCATATTATAATTATCACCCCTTTTTTCACTGAATTTGAAATGTATTGCTAATAATTATAAACTGATCCAAATACACCCCATTGAAAAATTGACATGTTAAATGTGGAATTAAACTAATGAATACGTAATGTAACTAAATCATTGTTCTCTTGATAAATTTGAAGATTATTTGTATGTGTTCTCCAATGTTGCATGCAATTCCCTCATGAAATTACAGAAGAAAGAGGAAAAGAAAAAAGACGAGGAGGAGGAAGAGAAGAAGAAGAAGAAAGTTGAAAAGAAAGAGGAGAAAAAAGTGGAAGAAAAGAAAGAAGAAAAGAAGGTAGAAAAGAAAGCCGAAGAAAAGAAGGAAGAAAAGAAGGAAGAAAAGAAGGTAACCATTGAGATGGGAAGATTAATTAAAATTTTCATTCTAATTTTTAATGATTTTCTGTCGCTTCCCTATTCCTTCTGTTACACCTTTTGTGATTAACAAGATACTACACTGATTACATACAGCGTGATATAGATATAGGAAGATTAATTGTTTTGCAAAATTTATTACAGTATGCTTCTTTATGTACTTGCAATTATCTAAAAATAATTATTATTATATAAAAAGAGAGTATCTTTGAAAAAGAAAAAAAGAATTTTAGTTTTATATAATTGTGTATTACGCAAGATTGATTATCGAAGTGTAAGTAAAAATATTGAGTACTATATTAAGAGCATCTGCTATAATTTGCAAAAATCGATCGATCTTTCGATTCCTCGATGTGTCAATTGGTATACCGTTGAAAAATTATATCTCGATATAAGGTAATTAGTTCAGTATGGAGCGACGATGATGATGAAGGATCAGAAGAATATGAGGTGGAGGAAGAGGAGGAAGTGGTGAGTGTAATTGAGTCCAGCATTATCAGCACAGAAGTCATTCTCGAGGAATCAGATTCTGAAATAATTTCTCACGTCGAGGTACACACAAACACAATTATATCAACATTGATACATATTATAGAATTTATCTTTCATCAATTTATATTAAATTTTTATAATTAAATATTTAATAATAATAATTTATTAACAATATATTACTTTTTATAAAATGAAAAAAGTGATTTTGTTTATTCAATTATTTCATTATATAAAATAAAATAATTATTTTATATTAATAATTTTACAATTTATTACATGTAAATATTCCGCTAATTAAACTTCTCTTCTTTTTTTTTCATAAATTATGGAACTTATGTTTTGTAGAATAAATCAATCAAGGATAAATCAATTTTTTTTTGTTATTTTTAAGTCCCTGTCATTTGTGTCATACCTTGGAAGTTCATGTGTATTGTGTGTTCCATAATATGCTTATTTTGTATGTATAAAAGTTTAAATGCAAACTTCCTACAAATAGTAAATATATTGTATTTGAAAATTAAATTAATTAAATTATATAAATTTAAAATTAATTTATATAAAAATTAAATTATATAAACTTAAAATTAATTTAAATTATATAAACTTGAATTACACGTTTGTAGAAAAGATAATTCTAAGTTTAATATTTAAAATATATGAAAGAAAAATAATGGTTTTGACGTATTCTGTTTCAGAAAATGGAGATCTTACAGGTGAGCATAAAATATCAAAAATTGGATTTCGGTAATGTATGCGCTCGAAAAGCAACTTTGATTCGCTTGAATAAATACCACTGTGCTCTGAAGGTTGAGGCTTTGGCAAAATATTTTGGCCAATCTGCGAAACGACATATTTATAAATCGCAATAAATTGTTTTCAGTTTTCTTTCGATGAGATTTTATCTTACAAAATTATCTTTATGCGATTAATATTCATCATTTTTACGCTAAATAAATTTGCTTATATTATTTTATTTTTCGCAGCATCCACTTAATCTCAGCTTATCTGATAAGTTTCTTCGAATGATCTCTTGCGCACGCTTAAACAATCGCCTTAATATTAATTTTTCTTCGCATAAAAAACGCAAGTTTTCCAAATGCTTTTTCAGATGCCATATTTTTTTCCGAGTCCCAGAAGCTGGTTCCTTTAAATCCAATTCTGCTTTAAAGTTTAATTCTTTATGTCATTATACAAACTCTTGCATGTGGTTTTTTCTTTGTATGTTTATATTGTGTGTTTGTGCGTGAAAAATTTTGTTCAAACACGAGCATCAGAGATATTTATTGCTTATTAAATGTGAACATCATCTTAAATTATTTTAATATGATGCAACCATATCTCTGTTGTGTTTTTGATTATTATGTATCCTAAATTAAATAGAGGAAATATTTTGCTAATATTATTTTATTTTTTTACATATGTAGAAGGACGAAGAAATTGTGAATAATGTTGAAGAAAGGAAATCTATTAAGGTAAGAATAATGTAAAATGTATTTCTTATTAAAAATGTAAATAAAAATAAATATTGTAATTAAGACGATATAACAAATAATCTATTTAGTTAGTCTATACTTAATTTCATATCTCTATTTTTCTTTCAATTTATAGAAGAAAGCCGCCGAGAAAATTGAAGACAAAAAGGAAGAAGAAAAGGTGAGCACAATTATTCTTATACATTTAATTTATATTTTTTCAATAATTTATTTTTTGACCTTTTTTCTTCTTTAAATCTATCTTTAAATCTTAACTCTTTTTTAGAAAAAGATTATAAAAAAGAAAGAACCCGGATCCAAAGAGGTATGCATAATTCAGTTGTTCTATTTTCATATCTTATTTTATGTACTAATCAAGTAATCATATAGCATATTATTATTTTAAGTATTCATTAAATTAATGTATTAAATTAATTTGGACATATGTATTTAATATTATTTATATTTAGATATCTCGAGAAACTACGCCTAAACCTGAGAAAACGGTGACTCGCAAGGAATCAATCAAGGTAAGGGTATTTATGTATTATATATGTATTTTTTTAATCAGTTAGAAAAATAGATTTTATATATAACTTGTTATATCTCAGGTGGAAGAACTTAAGACAGAGAGTCGTCGTAGTTCGATCATCAAGACTGATGAGAAGGTATATATGATGTTGTGATACTAAATTTCGTAAATATTTTAAGAGCTACGAGTCTGGTAAATTTATTCTGCACCATTAGATGCAAGTACTATGTAAAATACAAATTATTTTTATTTTTTACTATTATCGTATAGATAATGGATGATGGCACTGCGACACCACGACGTCTTTCTATACAGAAGGTACACATACATATACACATTTCACACACAATTGCCAAAAAAACAGTTACAATTAATTTTACAAAATTGATATATTGAAAAAAAATTTAAACTCTACGAATCAGAATAAAATAACATAAATTAAAATATTTTATTATTGACTTACGTCAATCAAATTTTAATTTGTTTTACATATCTTAGACCGAAGAAGAAGTCAAGATAGAAAGCAGACGATCTTCTATTATAGAAAAGAAGAAAACGACTGAAAAGGTAAGAAAGAATATATTGCTGTTTTTAACTAGTTACACAATGTGCTAACAAAATATTTTGTTATTAATTAATTGATTAGTTGTACTATCATAATTTTTAGCAGAACAAAGTAAGTACACGTGAGTGAATGTCACCTTCTCAAAATCGACATAAGAAGGAGTTTTAATATTTTATAGAAATAAATTATTTTCTATTTGATTAAGAGCTTGATGTAATTTTACTGTTTGGCAAAATCAGCTTGTGTTAATATAAATTATATTAATTGACTTTTGTTTTTTTTTAAGTAGTCTTTGAAAATAATTTTATCCGTAGATTTGACTTTGAAAGCTTTCAATGTGCAAATAATTTTACAATAAAAAGAAAATTATAATTTTTACTTAAAATACAAAAATTATGCTCTCTGTAAAATTTTACAATTAATAAGAATTTAATTAAAGATAGTATAGAATCAGAAATAATAGGTAACGTTGGATTTTTTTATTTTGTGTGATATATATTTGGGTAAAATCGTAGATTTTTTCCAAAGAAATATAAGAGAACATTTTATCTCGCATCATTGCAGGATGTATCCGCATTCAGGCCAAGAGCCATTTCGCGAATGATTGAAGATGAGGTACACTTACACATTTTAATTACTCTAATTATTTTATTTTATTTTATATCATTTTTTTGTACTTTGTAACAAGATAACTATTTTTTTTAGAACACACTCACAGCGAAAATCAAGCCACACACATATAAATTCGACGAAGAGATTCAGGTACATAGACATAAACACAATACCTACTTTCAATCGTATATCGTTCATTAGGTCAGCATACACGTTACATTTAATTTTAGGACGTTTGGTCGTCTAAACCGACAGAGCGCGGTAGTAAATCGATAAGACATTATGAGGTACGTGACGTATTTTTTGTTATGTTTATGCATCTTAAGACACGCGATATACATATGAAACGTTGTAGGAAACTACGAAGTCCAGGGCAACTTCTTTCGTTCATGAAACTGACCGTAAACCGAAGGTACATATCTCGCGTTATATATACTGACTGTATTTAACAAAATGTTTTCTTAAAATCGAAAAAATTTATGATATTTGCAACAAGAAGAATTACACAAAAAGTAAACTTTTTAGGTTGCACCTCAAGCTGCAATTAAGCCACGCGTCCGCGATTCGGATGATGAACGTGAGGTATATAAAAAATTATATCGTGCATACATGTATAAACACACATGCATACACATATCAATGATGTTATAACGATAATTAAACGTTTTACGAATATTGCGTATTTTATCGACGGTATTCATTTTAGGATGTTTGGAGTATTCACAATCCGGGAGAACGTGATAATGAATCTATGCCGTACAGAGTATGCAAATATGTTACATGAAAATTCAATACATTTTAGTTTAAAAGAACATGATATTTCGAACATATTTTTTTATTTTAGGATACGTCAACAGATAAAACACACAAACCTCATATACCGTCAGATACAACACATTCACGTCAAAAATCAGATGAAGACAAACCAAAAGATAAAATATTACATGACACCATCGCAAATAAGACACATCCACAGAAATCAGATAAAGAGATTGAGGTACAGAACATTTATTGTATAATGGCTAGGCATGTAGTATATATCTTTAAATCATCAATATTTTTAGAATATTTGGACGAGTAAAGAATACGATATTGACTTTAAAAAGTGTGACAAAATATGCAAATACATTTAAATTACAGAAATTATTCGCGAACAGTTCGAATTTCTTTAAAAGAGTAAAATTTTAAATATGTTATTTTAGGATATTCTGAAAGAGAAAAAACCACATGATATATCTACAAATAAAGTACTATCGCATAAATACGATGATAATTCAAAAGATAAAACACTTTCTCATAACACATCAATACATAAAATACATCCGAAAAAATCTGATGATGAAATTGAGGTATATAATATTATTGCGAAGCAACATAAATTACATATCTTTAATATATTACTATTTTTAGAATATTTGGGCGAGTAAAGAACGCGATAATGACTCTCCCAAAAAGCATGAAAAAGTAGGCGTATACATATTTAAATTATAAATATTATTCATAAATATAATAAAATCTTTTTAGAAGTGACTATAAAATTTTAAACGTTATTTTAGGATGTTCCGAAAGAGAAAACACGTTTGCATGATATACCTACGAGTAAAACACTTGCGCATAAATACGATGATGTTTCAAAAGATAAAATATTTTTTTATGACACACCTACTTATAAAATACATTCGCAAGAAAAAATTGAGGTATATAATAAATATCATCACATAATTTATGAAGTATATGTTACACACTTTCGAAATAATATTTTTTTAGGATACATCGACTAAGCCGAAAGAATCCGTTGTCGATTCAAAGAAATCTAAAGTATGTATAGTTAATAATTATATAAAATATAATTATTAATTATCACATATATACAATTAATTGAGTAAGAATAAAGAAAATAGTAATAACATGTTAAATAATATTTTAGGACATACCAAAAGTTAAGACACTTTTATGCGATACACCTACAGCTAAACTACAATCACAAAAACCTGACGAAGTGTCAGAACAGAGAGAGAAAACACATGACACATCTATTCACAAAATACGTCCACACAAATTTGATGAAAAAATTGGGGTATACAACACTTATATCATATGCATTTTTTAGAAGTAAATTTTATTTTTAAAATATTAATACTGTGTAGGATGTTTGGACCAAACCGAAAAAACATGATACTGATTCTAAGATATATGTCAAAGTATGCAAATTAGTATATTAATTAAGTACACAATTAATGTGAATTTATTTAAGAGAAAATATATGTAATATTTTAATTATAATATTGTTTTAGGATTTACCGAAATTTAAAGACAAATCGTCTCGTCGTCAATCTGTCGAAAAAATCGAGGTACATGTACGTTACGCATTGCAGAGTACACTTACGCATCGTATTATACAGATTTTTTACATATTTTTTTAATGCTGACTTTTAGGATATTTCGTCCAAACGAAGGGAACGTGAAAATAAACCACACAAAACAGATGAGGTACACTAACATTTCGCGCATATTTGAGTAAATTTATAAAATAGCAAATTAAAAATTATTATTATTATAGGATACATCGGAAATTAAAACTAAAAGACGCGTATCGAAATCTGACAATCAAACTGAAGGAGATAAAATAGCTTTGGACAAAATAAAAGTACGTGATATCAAGTCCAAGCCAAATGATGAGGTAGATAATAAGACAAGATAATATCTAATTATAATTTAAAAAAGAATTTAGTTTTATCCATTTATATTTTTTAATAAAAGGATAATAATAATGATAGTAAACTGATAAAAGGCAACAGAATTAATTTTAGGAAAATTATATATAATAAATAAAAATATAATACGCGAAATAAAGTTAAATTTATCTCTTCTTTGTCTAAAAATATAATAGAATACGTTAAAATACATTCTTAAAATTTTAGGACAAATTGGTGCCGAAATCGAAAGGACATGACGATAAACGCGTTGCACATAATGAGGTACATGAATATATGAATACATAAAACATTTTGTTTCTCTTCACTACATTTCACTTCACACAGCTCACACTTTCGGGTCTTACATTTATATAAAACAGCTTGGTAAATGGTATATGCTGTTATTTTAGGATACCGTATGCTCCACTGACACATCTCACAAACTTCCACTAGACCGAAATGTCAAAACTTACTACACGCATTATAATTATGTTAGTTACGAAATATTTATAATCTTATGGCGGACAATAAAACTATTATTTTATTTATTTTTAAATCGATATATTATTTTAGGATGTATGGGCAAATCCGCCAAAATCTATCGACCACGAACGAAATTTTATTACATCCGATAAGGTACACATATACACACACATACATACATTTGTGAGGCAGATTGTTAGATAGAAATTAATATTACATGCAAAATATATAGATATACTGAAGAAACAACGATTTATTTTTTAATTTTTAGGATGTTTTATTACCTACTGTTAAATCACAAACGCACGAATCCGATGATGATATTGAGGTACAGAATACACATTCACAATGCATTATATTTTTTTTATTATATTATACTTTTGATTAATGTAATAAAATAACACGCGATCGTAGGATATTTGGGCTTCGAGAATCGAGGACGACGCGCCTAAACCAATAAAAAAATTGGAGGTATATGCAAATTGCAATTGGCACTGCATTTATTTTTACTTTTGTTTACAAAGTAAATTGTAATATCGATATATTTTAGGATTTGCGAGTTTCCAAAGTTGCACCGTATAAAAATGGAGTTAAAATAGAGGTATACATTATTAAATTTACAAGTACTCATATTTACATTATTCGAAAATCATACCTAATTTGGTATATGACGGCTTTTAAAATCTCGCAGGAACTTGCATTCACATCTGCGCCTAAACTTGCATCCAAATCTAAGGACAGCATAAGCAAATTTAAAGAATCCAGGGTATATACGTATATTCCATATTCATACATTCATAACAATCGACACTTAAACTTATATTATATTAGTTAAAAAATTAATTTTTAATATTTAGATATTACTTTTATATATTTAATATTTTAATTAATTTTATTAATAATATTTGACGTCTACATAAAACAAATTTAATTATATATTTTATCCATTCGCGAGAGAACTAAGAAAAACAGAAATGAACTTTTCGGACAGATCTTATTCTTTAATGTTTTTAGGAGGGCGATATACCTGAATACGAAAAAAGCGAGATTAAACCCAAAGAGGTATATTCTCACACATACAGTCGCATGCATTCAAATACATACAATACACAATAAATTATACACAGTAAATTTGAATAATATAATTTTTTTCATTTTTTTCATTTTAGACCAAAGACATTACTATTATAAACTCTACACTTGACAAGGAAGAAGTGCCCAAGGTATAATACAAAAATTGTACTTCACACAACATTGTTATTTTCTTTCGGTTTTATTATATTTTTGCAATTGTAGAAAAAGGTGTCCACAAGACGTAAATCGTCGACTAAATCAACGGAAGGATCCGAGGTATAAAAACGATCCTCATTTCTTGTCAGTGCTAATCATTGACTTTCCACTGATCGCATAATTTTCTGGTCGCATAACTCTTCAGTCTCTTTGTAATCTTAGATGCAAAAAATTCTCCATTTTCTCTATACTATAATATTATAATCGAAGCTGTCTAATGTGTCTTCGCAAATGTGTATTGACATCTTTCGCTAACTATTGTTACGGAACACTTTCTCTTATCATCTTTTTATGATAAGTGTTTCCTTTTTCTCTTGCTGCTTTTCATCTTCTTGCTCTTCTTCTAAATTTCTATGATTTTGTTGATTATAAATATTGTCCAGGACCAAGAACCAGTATTGAAACCAAAGAAGAAAAAACCTAAATCCGCGGATGAATCTAAGGTATACAATTATATGTTAATAATATATTATCACAATTATAAACATACAAAAGATGAATGTTATATCTCCGTATAGAAAACAAAACAATATATGATTATTTGTACGCATATTAATTATAAATATTTGTTATTAATTTTTGCATTGTGCTACATGCTTTTAATTGTCACTAACATTAATATGCATATTTGTTTCATGTAATATTTTATTTTAATCCTTACAGCATAAAGTTGCACAAAAGTTGCAGCAACATTGCTGCAATATTGCATGTTGCACCAATATTGTAGAGATTTTTCAACGATATTGCTGCAAATTCTGTGCTATAAGAATAAAATAGCGTAGAATGATAATGTATTTATATACATATATTTATTAATTACAATATATCTATTTACTATTCATATATCTTTTACACAGTTTACACATTTTTAAACAGAAATATACTTTTACAACATATAAATCTTACAGTATATAAATATCTTTTAGAAAGAGGAACCGACTACAAAACCAAAAACTCCCGGAAAACTAGAAACCCCGAAGGTAAAAATATAATTATAATAAACAAAAAAATACAATTAAAGAACATATAAAATTTTCAACATGTGATTAATTTTTTATTAACATAAATATTTTAAATAAATATTTTACTTTCCTTACAATTACATTCAGTCACCGTAGGATAAAATACAATATAAAGTATTAAATTTATATTTTAAAAACACGAATTTAAAAAACATTATTACTACATTTTAGGCGGAAGTCAAGCCTAAACCGGGAGAGGCGAAGGTATATAAAATAACACTATTATCATTTTCTATATATATAACAATTTCTTCGCTCACGATTAACACTGCAGAGATTTACAGCTAAGATATGTACATGCACAGCAATAGATAAAGCATAATATATAAAATATATTGCTCTTTTCTAATATCACGCCACATTATGAAAAATGAGCACCTGCATTAACCATATGCCGTAAATATGTAACTTTAAAACATTTTTTACATTTTCAAACATATGTTTTGAACATTTTTAGATGGAACCAAAAGCCAAACCTAAAGCAGAGGAAGTAAAGGTATACTTACACATATACTGTACATATCTTGTAACAATATACACTTTCATAATAGAGAAAAAGAATACAATAAATTAAAAAGGGATGATAAATGAGGAACACTATTAAATACTACTCGTACACTTTTAGGAAGCCAAGTTCAAATCAGACGAACCAAAGGTACACAAAATACTTTATAACACATTTTATTATTTTAATAATCGGTTCAACTATATTACAGCCTATTGATATGAAAAATAAGACATTAACACTTAAATTTACATATACACTTTTAGGAGGAAGCGAAAGCTAAACCTAAACTAGAGGAAGTAAAGGTATATTTAGATCTGATTATCTTGCAGCAATATATATTTATGCAAGTCTAGCTCGCGGTTTACAAAAGAAAAAAATGCATAAATTATATATAGTAAATAAATATGATATTTTAAAAGACACTATTTAAACATCAATCACACACTTTTAGAAAGCGCCAAAGGCGAAGTCTAAATCGAGCGAAATACAGGTATAAAAAGTGTTGTATTATTTAGAAGAAAAACTCAATAATTAGGTTCAATAATTAGGCTTTTAAAATGCAGTGAAACTATATCATTGCGATGAAAAATGTACAATGTTTTACTTTACATATACACTTTTAGGAAGAATCTAAAATTAAAGAGGAAGATGTAAAGGTACACGTACATTTGTACACTATTTTTGACAACATCATATACATCATACATTCGGAAGAATAACAAAACAAATAAAGATAATTAGATGAAAAATTTAGCTTGAAGTATTACTTTTGCAATTATCATTTTACATAAAAATTAAACAGAATTGATATCATATTTAAAGGGTAAGACGAGGTATACGATATACTTTTTCACAATCTTTTTTTATAATCATGTATATTTATTTTATTGTGTAGGTATACTTTTTAAGTTTTTATGTATATTTTACACATAAATATTATAATTGTAAAAATACTTTTAGGTTGAAGAAAAGCCTAAAGCTAAACCAGGGGAAGTCAAGGTAAACAAAACATACTTGTACAAGTTAACAAAATATAAAATACATATAAAATACAATATTAAAAATTAAAAAAATTAAAAATTAAAATGATATTATTAAGTACTCGTATATTTTTAGGAAACACCGACGGTTAAACCAAATAAATTAAAGATACATCAAATGCTTATTATATCAAAACTAAAACTTTTATTTTGAAAATTTTAGAAACACAAAAAATATTAAAAGCTTTGAATATTAAAAATACTAAAAGTATTGCGGATATACTAATTCAAAAAACGTAAATCTCAAAAATTGTTTAGTGTTTTGTAATAAAATTAAAAGATTTTTATCTTTTATGTCTTTAAACAATAATTAATGATCTTCTAATATAGTTTATTGTTAGGTTTTTTACTAAAATACATATTAACAAAAGCAGAACATTATGAGTATTCTAGAAGAAAATTTTTTATTTTGTATACATTAATTTATAACAGAATTATTTAAACATTCAGAAATTAATATAATATAAAATATAATATAATTAATTTTTAAGAAATTAAATTATTATTATTAAAAAGAAATTTACAGAGCATTGAATTGAAACAAATTTTGCTATTTGTAGAAAGAGGAACCTGCAACGAAACTTACATCTAAACCAGTAGAACCGAAGGTACATTTGATAAAACACATACACAATATACATACAATCTAACATTGATATTTTTATAAAACAGGATACAAATTTTATAAAGAAAGAGTTTAACTTTTATATTTCTATTTGCAGAAAGAAGAAGAGATCACTAAGAAAGGTCTGAAGTCCGTCAAAGTAATTATAATTTTTATAATAAAAAATATTAATATAGAGTCTCTAATACACACGCATATTTTTTGAGTCTAACTTAATATTATTAAGAAAAAGAAAAAAATTCAATTTTCTCTTTATTAAGTATTTCTAAAATGTTTTATACAATTGTAGAAAAAAAGATATAGATATATGTATATTGCTAATATTCAATTTTTATTTATTTCAGCAACTCGAGGAGGAGAAGAAAATTCAAGAAAAAGTCGAGCTTAAGGTAATTTTATTTCTCTCATCACATTTCACGATTAACCGTTTAAAGTAATGTTTAATATTACACAGTTAGTAGATGTAAAAACAATAACGAAATTAAGTTAAGAAATTAGTATTAAAGAAAAGTTTGATTTAATATTCAATTAAATATTATGAGATTTAATTTAGTATCGTTGAATGAATAGTATTAGATTAACTTAGTTTTGTGCATTCCTTGCTTTTTAAAATTTGGTTTTGATATACCGCAAAGCGAACATATTTATATACTTGACATGAAGCTTTTCTCCTAACAACGATATATTAATACAGCCGAAGAATATCATCGAGACCAAACCGAAATCCCGTTTACCACCAAAACAGGAAGTAAAAACCGAAAGCTTTCAGGGGATTCAGCTTAAACCAGTTACGAAGGATCCGAAACAGCCTCAACAGGCTGAAAATGGCAGGGATCTCAAGGTAGCCCTGCAAAAGGGATCAACGCGATCTTGTTGCACAATTTCTATGTCTCGCATTCTGTGTTTTTAAACTGCTAAATTTCAATTTACAGCAATTCTAATTTCGTTTTCTAATTATTAAACAGCGCCGAAATATACTTGTGCGCATTCTTTTTTCTCTATATATATATATATGTATATATATATATACTTAAAGATATTTCTCTCACTCTATGTTCTTAATACAAGTAAAATTAATTAAACATTCTCTGTCTAAACTTATTTTCTCTCTGAATAATATTTATATTCTACACATGTTTATATATTGCAGCACATTTCTAAATTCTACGTTGCACTCATCTTTCTTCGATATATTCTAACTCTTCTGTGATTAATTTTATTTATGTTAATAACGTTTATGTTAATAAGAAACGCATAGAAATCTCTTTTAAGAGATTGATATTTCTTCTTTCTTTTAATCCTCTCTGTCTTCGCACATCTTTTCGCTCTATTCTCACAAGGTTATCTCTGATACTCATTTTTCCTTGTTATCAGAGATTTGTACAAGGATTAAACCAGCACCATGTCTGACACGTAATAATGTTTATCTTCTTGCAAATTTCTTTTTAATCTTATATCATTTATTATTTGTAATGCAGAAAACTGAAAAGATGGAAAAGGTCGATGCAAAGAAGGTAAAGGCAACGAAGGCAGCGAAGGACGCAAGTTACGAGCTCCCGGAGATTCCGGATTATGAAAGGGCTGTCCTGGAGAAACCTGAAGAATTTGATTTTGGCGACTTTGTTCCTCGCGATAAAACGAAACTCGAAAGACCGGTCACACAGGTAAGGAAGTAGTTAAAATCTCTGTATATAAACGATATTTTATAATCATTATGTTAGAATAATAAAAGAAATAAAAAATAATTTAAACATTTATAAAGATATATTGAAAAATATATTTTATTATTAGTTCATAAAAAATTTGTAGAGATTTATAGAAAAGATCTAGTAATATATAAATTTAATTAAATGTCAATTAAATTTTCCACTAATTATATGTTTTTTGTTTTCATGTTGCCGTGCAGAAATTCGATTCTAAGGTAAGCAATTGTCGCTTATTAATAATGAAGGTAAAATATGAATTTGCCAAATTGCCAAACTCGTTCGCGCGAGGAATTTTGCTAATTTTGGAAATGCCACGTTACTCAAGGATGTTTTGATCGAGCCTTGCGATACGCGGTTCAGGATAATTAATTTTTACGCCCGATTTACTGACGGTTTAATTATAGCCGAGATATAAACTCACGTCACTTATTTTGTAAGCTTGGAAGGACGGTAAATTTTTAAAGAACCGTATATATCTAAAAATATAATATTTATGCGAGATGTTCCGTGCACAGATGCAAATAACAAAAAGGTCATAAAATTTTATATGATGTATAATATATTATTTATTATTTTATTTATGTATATGCTTTGTTACTCCTTTTAATTTTATTAAATGTAATAATTACATCTAATGTTTTATTAAACTGTAGAATTACTCGGGATATCCGAGAACGCTCTTACTATTTTGACTGTTTAGTTTATATTAATTTTATACTTACATTTATTTGAGTGTAAAATCGAATTATTTTCGAAATAAGCAGTCCGTGTAACAGTTCAGTTAATAATCTTTTAGATTAGGAATTAAAGCAATCTCTTCCAAAACTACGGCAAAATGATATTTCGACATGAGAATCGACCTTATATTTTCTGTTCTTGTCGAGAACGCAGTGCCATAAATATCTTCGTGCTACCTGCACAATCGCAATTAATGCGTTGCGAATGGATAGGGAAGGGGGCAGGGGAAGAAATGGAAAGGGGTAATAATCAGCCAGGTCGAATCTTGCCTTGGCAAGCGATGAATGCTTTCTGTGCATCGCGCGACGTTGCGCCCGCGACAGAACTATTTTAGCGAATAAATGCTCGTATATCATCCCCTTGAAATCGGTTTCTCGTCTTCGTCGTCGTCGTCGTCGTCATCGTCGTGAACGAGGATGGGGAAAACGTCGATCGCTATTTTCGGCCTTATTACGACTGACCCAATAGCAACTCGGATTCGAATTGCAGGGTCAGTCGTAATCGCCCTACGTGCGCGACCGTATTAAATTAACGTGTTAACAAATTCTGATACTTCGATATCTCGGCTGATAAAGTCATCGTTTTGGATCGCTATCAAGTAATGACTTGTTATTAATAAAACCGAATCATTAAAGTGTATTTGTGGATTAGGTTGAAAGTTATCAAGGATTGGTTAACGTAATTGTGATTCTGTTTAGCTTTATCAATTCATAAATGTTTAAATCTTAAAAAAAATGTAATTTGTATTTATAATTTATATTTGTTAAATAATATATTAACATCCTTTTTTTAATCATGTTAAGAAACAAAACTAAGTATACTTATCTAAAAATTATTTATTAATAAAACATATGGAGCTAAATTTTTTTGCCAATCAAAGAGAAAAGATTAGATTAAGGTTACGTGTAATTGGTGTAAAGGAACATTAAATTAATTAACAAAATTGAAAAAAGTTTTAACTTTTTATTTAACCTTCTAAACAGACTTGATAGGAAGCAAGCACTATTAATCAATTAATTTTTGATCATCGTAGCCGAAGTTACCGGAAATTAAAGCGCCCGAAACACCCAAGATTGAAGTTATCAAAGACGTGACACCGGTCGGCAGCAGAAAGGGCTCTTTAGCACCCGGAAGCGGTGCTGGCAGTCGACGTGGTTCGCTCATACCGCCCGAGGAATTAGGTCGTAGGCCCAGCTTGATCATTAGTGACGAGGTATGTTACGGAATGTATTGTGTGATCACGAAAATATATAGACTACCTTATAGGGGACCGAGCTGAAGAATGCAACAGAGGCGAGTAGAGTGACATTCTAGAGATATTCTAATTTAATTTCTTTAAATCGCTGAGTTTGCAAAAAAACTTAATTTAACTTTAATTTATGTTTTGATCTATATAGAATACCAAAGTATCAGTAATTTAATTTTCAAGCTATTGTACAAATAGAATTTCGTGAGCTTGAAACTTTGTTGCATTCTCATGCGCTCATGAAAGATCGCCCAGTTTGCTTTGTAGAAAACTTATTTGTGTCTAAGGAAACACATCATTCACTGATCTTATTAATTTATTGGAAGAACCTTGTCAAATCGCCAAACATTGTTCCAATTAGGAACGTGAAAGTTCAAAAATAAATGACTATGACGCGATGAATCTATTTTTAATATAGAATATATTAAATTACAAATTAATATTAAGGTCTCATTAAAATTTGATGGATTTAAAACTTGATGTTTCCTCTTATATATACAATTATAATTGTATTATAAAAAAAATTACTTTTATATTTTTAGTTTTTATTATTTATATATATCTATTCTATTTTATATGTCAATAAAGCAAAAAGGGTGATATGACACATTTTGCACTCTTGAATATACATATAAAATATATAACGAGAATAATATTTTAAAAAATTATTTTAATGTCTATACATTTTTTTAAATAATATAGAGAGAAAATTATATTAAATATAAAATCCATATATTAAATTAATTGAAATATATGTATTTTAATATTATTATTGAATTAATAATCTATATTTTTTGTACAAATTCTACATTTCTTCAAATTAATTTAATATACAATATAAAATTATAGGTTTCCATTTTCTGTATTACTTTAGAATATGTTATACTGAATATATTTCAAAGTGCAAAGTGTTTGTACGAGTCCCACTAGGTAGATGATTAATGAGTCGCGTAAGACACTCGACGAACAAGTAGGTAGACTGGCTACTGCTGGTTGGCCCTAGGGTTTTTTGTAGCTTTTTTTTGAGTTTTATAGTGTAAGTCCAGTGATGGTCTTAGTGGTGTCGTACTCGTGATAGATACGCGCCGTGAATCCCCGACGACGAGTTCGTCGAGTGACGCACGTCGCGTTTAGTGTCAGCAAGGCGTGAGATTTAGATTAGAAACCTCTCATCAGTGAAAGATCCAGAGTTTACCAGCTTCTGAAGCATCTTCCTTTCTTCCTTTGACCCTTCCTCCGAAAAAAATTGAATTCCGTTACCTTCCATCGTCAGCAAAGGCATTTCTCCCAAAAAGAAAAAGAGAATGGAAAGTCAACTTGTGATGCGTAATATTGAGGACGTTCAAGATTGGTGCATATTGACTTGCAAAAAGCAAGAATCTGAAGAACTAAATAGACACTTCCTGGAGAAGAATATCGAAGAAACACGGATAATTGACGATTATGTGGATAACCTCAGCTAAGAGTGAGACGATCGAAGGCGTTCCCCGTAAAATTTGCATCGGATATTTCGTTACTTCGAGATAAGATCCCACATTTTTTGGTCTTAAAATAATCTTTCTAAATTATAATTAGCGTTTTACACCTTAATAAATATTTTTAGCTTAACTGCTTAAAACTAGAGCAACTTTCGGGAATGAAAATAGCAGAAAAGCATTAATTAAAGTTACTAAAATTAAACAGACGCATAACTTGCGTTGATGTAATTAATTTTAGTCAATTTCGCGAGACTTGGTTCAGTTTCAAGCTAGAGATAAAGCGGGGAGTGCGTTTTGATATGTCTAACAGGGTGGTAGGACAAACGCCGATCGATCGAACGATCATATTATACAATGTAAACATGTTGCAGCATCGTTTATTGTGTATACACGCAAACACAAACATACACGTGCACAATACAACCATCTTTACCTCGCAGTAGTGCTTAATAGAGATTTGGTCCATAGGAGCATAGGAAGCTTCGTCCCGGCGAGGTGCTGGACGAGCGAAAGGTGAGATAAATCGCTGAGAGAAAAACGCGGAAGCGAATGTCTCGTCTGCAACCTTACTCGACTACCAAATGCACTTCTACTTACTTTTCTCACACCGCACTACGGAATAAATAAAAAAGAACTAAATTGTTTAATGCAATTTTTTAATGAAATATTTAATGCAATTTTATCACTAATGATGAAATCTTTCCGATTGTCTTTGCTCGATTTTGCCTGCTCCTTTTACTACTATTTACTTATTGTGGTCGTACTTTATGGCACGAGTCGTCCTGAATTTAATTCACGCACATTTTATAACGATAATGGTTTGATTATTTAATTAATGAGTAAATTTCATATCGAGAGCAAACAATTAAATTCCCGACGATGACGTGTGAAACTTTGGAAAAGTTTCAGCATCCTTTATTTTTAAATAATGTAAATCTTTTTTTAACATAATTTCTTAATAGACACTTTGGAAAATTAATAAACATTAATAGATATTTTGGAAGATCTTGTTGTTTAATTTGGTAAAATAAAAGATGTTGGAGCAATATCTCGCACGTGCCTTTCGACATACGTAATCCAAGATCGTAAAGCGAGTAAAAAGCGAATGCATCTTTGCACTTGGCACGGATCTGTTGCAACCGATATGCATATTCTGACGATAATAATAATAATAACAATAATATTAATTGATAATGCGAGATGAGAGAAGCGAAAGAAGTCAGGGATTGTTCGTGTGCATGTTAATCACTCGCATACAAGATTTTAAGTCTTTCCTGGCTTACATCTTTATCCAATAGATCACTGGGTGATCTTGGCAAGCACTGTGCCGTTGTAGATAGACATCGACGCTAATAAATATCTCGAGCAGCGCGACAAGACGTGTGAATCATGTCTGACGATCAAGCTTCATCGTCCGTGTGAAACACTTATTTCATTTCTGTTAGTTGAATGTACATTACTATCAAATTTAAATTATTATCTCGCATACTGATCTAGTAAATTCTAACATTTTGTCGCGCAAAAGTGAAAATCCCAAGAATTTGATTGGACTCGAACGAATTTACGTGGGTTGTTCTAAAAATTTTCTCTGAATTCTCTTGTGACAAAGTTTTAAACATCAATATATTGAAGGTATTTATGAGTGTAAATAATAATTTTACTAAGATAATGTTGCGATCTTATAACTAGCCACGGATACGCCCTTGCTTCTCTTTAGTCGATTATGTTGAACCTTTATGTTGTAAAAAATCAATAATTATATTAAAATAATTATATTAAAAAGTTGTAATAAATTTACGAAACAGCGATTATATAAAACCGCATTGAAATTATAGTTCGAAGTTGTCAATTCATGTTGAAATTCATATGAATATACTGAAGATGTGACAGAGGTTTGAGATAATCGACATGCAGTTTTCAGATTATTCTTACGAATGGCGATTCACTCTTTAAAAGTCTCTTTCATACGATCACATGCAATCTGGTTGCACTTAAACTCACTGACGTATTAGCTGACAACGCGCACTGTTGTGTCGCCGAATCGCACTGTTCTGTCTAGCAATGCACCCGCACAGAAATGCAAACGCACAAGCCGTCGCAACGTCGGTAAGGCGAGCCTCGAACAGCCCCCATTTGTGTTCGTCTACCGCGATTCTCCCTTGTTCCTTCAACCCCAGACTTTTATTTATCCGTGTCCTTACCAGAGTCTCTGTCCTAAGTAAATAATCAAAAAGCAGTTCCGTTTTAATCCGGCAAAAAGAGCCAATTCTTGCCCCTTAACAGAAATAGCAAAGCCAGCACGCAGGAGCATTTTTATTTTCCATTTTCGAAATCAGCGCTTTTTGTCAACTGTTTCTGTAAAAGAGAAAGAGGTATTTTAATGTCCGTTCTGTATAAATCTATCGGGAAACTTTAACAAAAATCCGTGTTTGTAACCAAAGCGACAAAAAGGAATATGATGACGAGCAGTCACTTGACCCTCATGTGTTCGTCTCTGTGATTTTTGCAGTTGGGAAAGTTACGGCCCGGTGAGGTTTTCGAAACAAAGGTGAGATTTGTGTTCGCTATAACACAAAGCTTACCTGCTCAAAGTACTATACCAGCAATTTTTCGTATCATGTATTGTTCTGTCTTTTTTCTTTTTTTTATCTTATGGACACCGACCGCCCTTTTTGGATTTTTCTATTTTTCTGCGCCCTCCCCCCTCAAGCTCTTATAATTTTTAAGCGTCGATTTTATTTCCATGTTCGCCTACAGAAAGACAAAATAATAAAAGCCCAATAACTAAAAACGAAAACTAAAAACGTACTTGACGAGGGAAGTCCCCGATGAGAGAGGCAAAAGCAACGCCACGCGTTACCACGGGACGGCAATAATAATATTAATAACAATAATGACGATATATGACAATGATGATATTAATAATAATAAAAAACATAATTCTGCGACATGTTTTTAACTGAAGTTTTTGAAGTTGCTGCTACTGCTGCTGCTGCTACTGTAAACACGCTAGCCGCTATTTTCTCAACCATCTGCGGTTTAATACCGTAATTTTTAATACCGGTTTAATATCTTTTAATATTATATGTTCGTGAGAGCATATTGGCAAATAATTTACTGATCAATAATTTGAGTTTTCTTTTTTCTCACATCGAAAAATGAATCACTTCCTCCCCCTATTATATCGAGCACTCCTAAGATAAGAGCCCACTTCTTATGGAGCCCCCCTCAGAAATAAAAAATTCTAATCTCTCTTTGCCCACCCTTTTTATGTTTCTATTTCTGTTTCTATCTCATCTTTTATTTTTTCACGCACCACACACAGACTAAGCCCGGCCGACTAGGCGCGCTGCCAGAAAAAGAGGTTAGCACAATATCTCTGTTGTGCGTATACGCATATGTATATTTTTATATTATTTTGTACATACGTTTACATATACGTTATCTACGTTTATATATCTTTATCTCGGTATTATTTTCTTATTTATTGCGTGCTTAAAATTTGAAAACTGTTTATACAGGATATTTTTGAATAGCCTCCAAAAATCTACAAAAATTGATAGATTTAAAAGATTGATTCAGATTAATAGAGAGATTATTATTTATTAATAATATTCTGCTTAAGACTATTACTCATTCTGAATAAAAAATTTTATCAAAATTAATTTGAGATCAGAAAGGAAAGTTTTTCTTACGACGCAAAGAACTGCCGATTTTTCTTTACATTTTTGTTAAAAAGAAATTAATATGAGCAAAGTTTTTGGATGTTATTCTATAAACCTGTATGTTCTATAAATATTTTGCAAAGAGCACTTTTTCGCGAATAGTCAACGCCGACGAAATGCGCTTGCGGACGGCAATTTTTTTTACATTGCATCGATTTATGTGCGAACTTTGTAATTAAAATTAAAAACACGAATCGATTCAATGTGTAACGCCTGAAGGAGCTCATTGCGGCCGCGTTGCGGAATTCTGCTTATTAGTTCGAGCGGATACACCTGTACATTTTATGCGGCTGTATAGATGCAATTTAGATGCAGTTTAGATTGTAATGGTGGTAAGAAATTGGAGTTAATTTACATTATAAATAATCCATGGAGAAAACGAAATTGCTGACATATTTTTTTATCAATCTCATTGTGTTTTGAGAAAATTGTTTGTGCGAGATCTACCACCATTAAAAATTTAGTAGTTGCAGTACGACTCAGTATCAGACTTGTCGCAGTAGTGCATTTTTATTTTAGCGTCCACGATATCCTACGAATAAAATGAAATGTTTAAAAATTTATTCCATGAAATTATTTTTATGGAAATACCTCAATTTAATATCTAAAAAATAAAATTGTTTTATTGTTTTATTGTTTTTTTGTTGCTAAAAATAATTTATTATTTATACAAAATTATTTATAAATTGTGGCGAATATATCTTATAAAATTAATCATCATAATAATTTGTTCTTTTATTAAAAGATTGACGTTGAAGAGTTCAGTTCTCTTCTGCAATTCTGCATATCGCTGCGATAGATTTGAAACTGAGCAGTTTGCTCCTATATGTTAAAGATATATATGTGTGAAATAACTTATTTATGTAGAATTTTATGTATAGGTGTAAATATTCATCGTGCTCACACTATATGTTAAATAGATTCAATCGAAATATTCTCATTCTCATCGTCACGAATACGATGTCGCTCTTTAAAATGAAACATTAAACATGTTCCATTTTCTCATCGTTCCGATTTATAAATGTTCGGCATCGTATTTGTGCATATCGTGTAGATATCGTAATGTGTCTCTTTGTAAATAATCCTGATAACTGATTTTCCCATTAGACGAATATTCGAACGGCAATTTAATTGACGAGGATCAGATTGGTTCACGGAGTAAGCAATCATTTCATCGCCAAAGCATAAAAATAATCATTCATGTCATACACATCATGTTGAATTCACGTATCATTCTCTTCCCCAACTTTCTGTATCTTTTATTAATTTTTTAAATGTATTTTAGTATTCTAATGATGGCTTGTAAGGCCAAGAACATCACTAATGATGTCCTTATCGTATACCTTATCAGATTATAAAAAAAAGAATTTTATTGCACTAGTAGGAATAACATAATGTAGTATGTATAATAATATAATAATTATTGTAACATAACATTGCAAATATTAAATTTAATATTGTATTTTTTTATAATTACAGAAAAAAGAATAGTTCTTTATTTTGGATTTGTACCTTAATTTTTTTCTGTAAAGTTGTTCCTCCTTGTGCAATTTAATCCCGTCTGAAAGTCTCTTGACTGATGACTATTTTATATAAATAATGATTAACTAACTTCAGCTTTAAATTCTCATCCCACGCGTAACTTGCGATTCGCATTTTTGCTTTGCGATTCACACCTCATGGCAAATGCGTTTTGCCACAATTTCACGAGTTGTGCATCGACGCACAAATATTACATCTTCATTATCGTATAAGAGCATATATTTCACCATCGGAAGAACATTTTTCATTTGTTTCTACAGTTGTCTCTTACCAGAATGGTCTTACAAATGTTTAAAAAATATTAAAATTTTGTTTTCCTGTTTTCATCAATCTCTTATTCATCTGATTAATATATTCCCTTTCTATTTCCTTTGTCCGACTATACGTATTCAAGGGATTCTTACACGTTCGATTAATTATTTATCATAAATTATTTTCTTTGCATGCAAACGAAGATAAATATGTAAAAATGGAAGGCAAGTAAGTTGATTATACAAAATTTCTAAAATAATTTATTAAAAAATATAAAATGAAAATAAAAATTTAATTAAATCGAAGATTAACAGTAATCACTAATCTTACAAAACAGTTGTTAAAATTAAATAAGAAAACCTTGAAATCGTAATGGCTATTCACAATTAAAGAATTTATGAAAGTCGGAAAGTCATGTGAAATTACCCATATTTATTGATCCCATCTTGCTAATCAATGTATTCCGAAAAGAGGATGTGTTTTAGAATTGTCACTAACATTATTGAAACTCACTTGATTTAGTGACTAACACAAAGTCACTAATGCGTGAAACGTAACGCTGATTAATAATGTAAATTAATTTTCAATGTAAATAACGTTAACTCACAATGATTAAATAAGTAATAATTAAAATGTTTAAAATACGCAAAATCGCATGAACGCTGCGGATTTTTCAAACAACAACGGCGACTTCCATTTCTTTGCTTTTTTTGTTAGTTTCTATTTTGCAAGAAATAATTAAAAAAATAATAAAATTAATTTTTATCGTCAAAAAAAAATAGGATGTATTTGTAAATAATAAGTAAATATTTATCTAACTACCATTTTTTATTATTAGGTATGAATCATTTATTAACTACATAGATTATGATTTGCGTTTCTTTGATTACATTAATTTATCAAATTTAAATTTAAATTATATCAGCAGAAGTCGTCGCGCGTTATGCTTTAAATATTCTCGCTTTTATTTAAATGCTTTTCAGTGTCTATATTAAATGCGATAGCAAAGTGTGTATAAATTTGATCACATTTTTATTTGAATGGCACAGCGTCGTCGTCCGAGTACAGCGGACATCAGAAGACCCAGCGTGGCGGACCTCGAGAATAGGATCAATTTACCTAGTACACCTTTGCGAGATGTTGGACCAGCTGGACCACCCCAGATCGTCGATGTTCAGGAATCGTACTCTGCCGTCGAAGGTAATGCATTTTGCTCTTCAACTCATAGAAAGCTTATAAAAAAATTTTTTTTTTAATTAATATATGTAATTACAGCAATAATAAATGTCTTACAACGTAAAATATTTTTTAATAACATATTCTTGTTTTACAATGTTAATTCTATTGGCATTCTTTTTATAGATTCGACGGCGTATCTTACCGTCGCGGTGGAAGGCACGCCCGCGCCAACTTTCAAATTCTACAAGGGTATTACCGAGATCATCGAGGGTGGCCGCTTCAAGTTCCTCACTGATTCGGAGACCAACACGATCACCCTCTGCATGAGGAAGACGAAACCCAACGACGAGGGCACTTACAAGATCGTCGTGAGCAACATCCATGGCGAAGATTCCGCCGAGATGCAGCTCTACGTTTCCGGTGAGTCAACCTAATATTCTTATAGTTATATAATTTACATGTATCCGAAACGCAATCTTAGCATGGTGTCCAGTTAATATAGATCAGTAACTTAATATAAACACCACATAAAAAGTAAGAACGAATTACGTTTTTCTATTTAATTTATTTACATTTAAAAAATTTAGATATTATATACTTACATCATATTTAATTTAACTTTAATATAATCTCTATAATTCTAATATTTAAAATATATACATTAGTAATAACACAAAATTTGCTTTATTATTTTAAATTTTGATTTGTTGGATGAATAACAGACGCCAGTGGCATGGACTTCCGTGCTATGTTGAAGAAGAGGAAATATCAAAAATGGGCGCGAGAAGAAGCTGAGCAAGAAAAAGTAGATTTGAAGGAAGTCGAGAAGCCCATGCCGGCATTGAAGAAAGTAGAAAAGGTATGTTTAATTTTACACATATACAAATATAAACTATGTAAAAAATTAATAAGTTAATTGTTTAGCAAGACTAAACTAAAATTTATTTGAATATTTTATTCAACTTATACCTCTTATATCTCTTCAACTTTAAAATAAGTTTAATTCTATACATATATATATTGCGCGTAATATTTTTAAATAAAATTGGTTACGCATCACATTTACAATCGCCATCGTAATACATGTAATACATAATGGAGATGTGCGAATGTGATTTCAGTACGCCATTAACAGCCTCATAGTGTCTTCATGAATGTAAAAACAGGTGAAAACACAATGTTAGATACGTAACATAAATTTAATGCCGCCTGTTGAATTACCTACTTTATAAATCCATATTCTAATTTGAAATTCTCTTTTTGTTTTTTTTTTATTTGACAATTATATTATAACAAGATACCCTTTCATTTAATTACAAACAAATTAAAATAAGTCGGAAGCTAACATTTTCATTTTTTATTTAAAATAATATTACAGAATAATATTTTGGATAGATAATTAAATACATTAAATAATGTTTTCATTTAGCATATAGCTAACGGCAACTTAGTAGAGATTTTTGAAGATAGAGTACATTTTCCAGATTTCAGAATGCATTTTCTGCCTGTTCCTTTCTCTGTGTCTTTCTCTTCTCTTCTTTGTCTATCTCTATCTCCTAGTCGCTAGGAAGTGAACAGCATGGATCGGGCTGGTTTCAAGACGGCGAGGAAATAGTCATCTTGTCAGCCGGTGTGGAGATCTTTCGAATTTCTCTCGACAAGAAGGGTGAAACTAACTGGAGCTGGCTCAAGGTCTTTTCCCGAGCGATTTACATAATAAATCATAGTGACAATGACAATACAACGATTACGATTTTAAAACATTGACGAAACATTAGGACTTACAATCTGACTTTATTTCTTTAAATATTAACAGATTTTTAAATAAATAATTTTACTATATCTCTATAAAGTGGGAAAGAATTATAGAATAGTAGATTTTTTGATTGTTATCAGAAGATTTGAAACTCTCGCGGCGTTATTTAAATTCTGCTATATAATTAAAAAGAATTATATAAACAGGCAATTAGAAATTGGCGCTATAGACGGTGCGCAGTTTTTGTTTCTTTAAAATTAATTATATTTTATATCATTACTTGTACATGTTGTAGCTAATCTGTTAGCCTTCTTTAGCAAATTTACAGTATATGTTACAGTACGTTGCTTATCTATCTTACAAAAATCGATGTATGTTGAAATAACAGTCGATATCATTGTGTGGCAGTAACATTCATCCATTTCAGAATAAACATTCCTAGTTTGAAAGCTGGATGATAGCGAATGACTGAAAATCTAATTAATTATAAATAATAATCATGACATAAAAATATTTTTTAGCTTATTAATTATTATTTACAATTAATTAGATTTCCAGTCATTCACTACCACCCAGCTTTCAAAGTGGAAATTTTTATTCTGAAATGGATGAATGTTACTGCCACACAATGATATCGACTGTTACTTCAACATACATCGACTTTTATGAGATTCATGGATAACCAATGTATTGTAATATATATTGTAAATTTGTTGAAGAAGGCCAAAAGATTAGCCGAAACAAGTAATGATATAATATATAATTTAAAGAAACAAAAACTGCGCACCGTCTACAGCATCAATTCCCAATTGCCTGTTTATATGATTTTTTAAAATTATTATCTTGGGAATTTAGTTTTGCTATATAAGTTTTCTACTTCCCCTTTATCTTCACTTTATCGAGCAAGCAACATAACTTTCTTTTTTCATTTTTAACGTATGCACTTTTATGGTTTAGAGTTAATGCTGCACTTTAAATTACATTACTGCTATCCCTCTTTTGTGCCTTTAAGTTGTTAAATTATTCAAATTCTGGATTGATACATTTGATTTTACTATGAAGAATTGATAATTCAAGAGTTCATTTTAAAGTGCATGGAAATTACATTGTAAACATTATTTTATCGCAGGGGGGGGTATATCCAAAAATTTTCTTTATACATATATACCCTAATAAAGCTCTATCTAATGAAAGTTTCAGAAATTGCACAATCCTAACCGAGAGAAAAAATATTTTATTTGTGACAATAAGAAAATTATTTGGAATCAAAAGTAAAGTTGCATTTTTTATAATTAAAATAAGAAGAATAAAAAATTTCAGTGAGAGTTAAATCTGCCAAACTTTCTCCTCTCCCTCACGACTATAATGCGCACACTGAGGGCTAGCTGTATATGTTTACATTTATTATATATTTCTCTATTAACAAGCAAGCACGATAATTAACGTAACTGAAAAGTTCCTAGTAGAAATAAAAATGTAAACTATCGATAACGTGTGATATAATTGGCATTATTCCAAACATTGCATGTGACACTTCCCACATTAGAAGAAAAGCATTATCTTTAAACATGTAGAAGTAACGTAGGACAAGATAAGAACTCTAATATAATGAATTTTACAGTTATAAATAAAAAATGTTCAACAATTAAATATAAGATGTCTCGATGACAAAAAGCGCATTATATAATCGGAAAAAATTAATTAAATGTCATTTTTCTTTTTTAAATTTTTATCAGATATTTCTTTAAATCAGAGTTCTTTGATCGCGCGCTATTGGCTAATTGTATAAGAGTGACTTTAACCATGATGTGTGTATGCCGGGCATGTAGGATATCTTCGACATTCAGCGCAGGCCAAGTTTGCAGGAGCTAATCGTCGACTGGCCAAAACTAGCGACACACGCCAAGGAGAAGGTTCGCGAAAAAAAGTCTTAAGGGAATGCATCCTTGTATTAAATTCCAAAAAGCCATGAAACAGAGAGCAGAACCGCCCCGCAAGGCTTCTATTTCCTGCGCGGTATTCTGGTTAATTAAATTTGAATATTACAGCACATAATTATCTATAACATATTACAAAAAAAAAAATTGTTTAAAATTTATGAATTAAGAAAAACACTAAGATAAAACTTTCCTACAATACTTTTTACGTTTCAGTACTTCATCATTTTACTTCATAATTTGCCAGAATACCCCTGTGTTTTTTGGATTTTCTTGATGCTTTGAGCGAAATAAAACATAAAAATTCTGTTGTTGTAACACAGCAAAGAGATCGACTCTTACGCGATGTAAGTGTTTATAGTTATTATAACTGATCTCTTTGTTTTATTAACAGGTGTTACATCAATCCGACTAAGGATGTAAACCGAATAAATCGTTGAAAACAACAGCCAGTCAGTTATTCGCAAGAATTTATATCTACATACGTTTATTTTAATCAAATTTTTCAAAAATTTGATGTATATAATTATATTAAAGTCCGTAACTTTTCCAAAGAATATTTTAAAATTCTTGCGACTATTTACGATTGAGAGATCCCTTTGGCCTGCGCTTTTTAAAATAATTTATAAAAATTTAAAAAAATTATGAAGCAGAGGAGTAAATATAAATTTGTTAATATATGTATAAATTCTTATGCTTTTATCAGACTAGAGATTGATTGAGATTGAGATTGAATTTAAGCAATCAGATAGAAAATCAATATCAAGTTTAGTAAATTTTGCTTTGGTCAAATTTAATTTCAATTTTAATCTTAATCTCAATCTCTCTTTAGTCTGATACGGGCATATATATCACACAGATTAATTTGGAATTACAGATATAGAATTATTTCAATTATCCGATATCTCGATTAAATTAACATTGTCTTAATCCTATTTCTATCTAAAACATGTTTTTTAATAAGAATAAAATATCTTGATTATCCAACTTCTTTAATAAATTCGATCCACATTAGGTCGGATAATCAAGGTTTTGTAATTGCAATTAAATCCATGCATCTCACGCTTGGCTTAATTAAAAATGAGCCTTATTATTACATATGCTTATCATCACGCATGCACATTATTTCATGGATGTTTTTGAATTAAAGATTATTAGTCAAATAGACAAATTTTATTTAAACAATATATAGATTATTTAAATAACATTCCTTATCATTAAACTTCGTTTTGTTGAGTTATGTGACTCACATTTATCTTATAAAATTGTAGAATTATTAGTAAACATGGAATATTTACGATATTCAAATATTTTAATTTGTGGTAATTATATATTATGCTTAATAATATTTAATATAGTATTTATTATTAATATTCTATATTTTGATAATATTCTGTAACAACTTAATATAACTTAACAATTGTTAGAATTATTAAAACTGTTTATGTATGTAATGATTGTAATCACTGCAGTTAATCATGCACAACTCACAATGACGAGCGACAATTGATTTAGAAAATCTGAAACAACGAAACTTATAAAACCAAATATAAATAAAGTTAGCAATAACAACTAAATTTGAAATAAAAGCCTATCATAGCTTTCCGCTGAAAGCGATCAGCGAATAAGATCAACACGACGTATTCCGAAAAGATACTGTGATAGTGGATATGCCTTTTCTTGTTTCTAGAATAGTGGATCGCGTAGGCCGTCTCTGGCCGAATTAATACCTGACTGGCCAATCCTGCATCACTTCATCAAGACGGAGGTTGGATCGATTCTCTATGAATCGAGTTTCCCATCAATAATTTCACGTGATATTGACTATCTGTTGTGCCTGTCACTGTTGCCTCGACAGTCTTCGAAACTCGACGATCTACCTATCTTCTGTCTCTGATTCGCTTGAGAGCTCTTTCTCTGGACGATTCTCTTATACAAATTAATTGTCTCATCCTAAATTCTACTACTGTTTCTTCTGCCTTCGATTAATAAATTCTATTTTATTAATTACTTAAGATCAAACGTCGTAGCTATTGTATCTTCTGGCTCGACCTATAATATAACTTTCTCTAATTCTTCTCTTATGTTTTGAGAAAATATTTTGAGATAATACTGTTTAAAATTTATTTGCAGGCATCCTAATCTGTGACAAGTTTTTCTTATAAAAAGTTGCTAATTTACATAATTGGAAAAAGTTACTTTTTCTTTTTAATTAAATTATTATTAATAAATAAGATTATAAGCTAATATATTTTTTATTAAAATATTTTTTAGCTTATTAAAATAAGTTAAATTGGATGTCAAATACAATATTTTAAATTTATTGATTTATATATTTACTTGTGAAATGCAAACTTTAATATTAAATATTAATTATCCAATAGAATTAACTTCTTGAAATCTATTAAATATTTTTTAATAATAAGACTGATTAAAACATCAGCAAAAATATTCACAGTTGGATTCCCTTGCAAATAATATCTTTCTTCATCGGTGTCGTCTCTGAATGTATTATAAGCAAAGCCTTCTTCAGCAACTATCTTCTCGCTCATTTTGCTCGAGCAATAGCAAATACATTTTTATTTTTTTTTTCAAAGCCAACATATTCTTTTTTTCCTCAAAACCGTTTAACACTAGATCATAAGCAAGATCAAAGCATCAATAATAAGCATGATAAGTCATGAGCTTGAAGACAAGCTTATCAAGCCAATTCTGTCGACGAACGATCGACCAAACTTTTTGCAAGTTTTTTGTCTAGAATTCCCTTCTAGAATCCCTTCTAGAGACCTCGTCTTCGTGCCTTTTTTCGTCGTCCTCACTTTCCGTTCTTCTGCTCATACGGAGAGGCAGGACGCCATTTTTCAAATTTTTCGCCGATTTTTCTTACTACTTTTTTTGTAGCCTGGCAAAGTGATTGCTGTCGATGTTGAACAATACTACTATTGGATTTCTTGATTAAATCTCTTGATAAATAAATATGATTCATAATTGATTGATGATATCTTTTTCGCAGAAACAAGAAAGTTTCCTGAAACCACTGGTAGATCAGTATGCCAAGGAAGGCAAAGATAAGAAGGTTGTCTTCGAAGCGAACTTTTCGAAACCGAACTGCAAGCCGAAATGGTTCTTCCGAAAAGACGTAAATATTCTTTTAAAAATAAACATTATTTAATTATATTTTTGCGAGCTACACTGAAAAAAAAGTATGAAGTCAATAAACAAAACTACGTGTTCGGATTGAAAACACTATGTATTTTAAATCCAAATGTAGTGTTTTGTTTATGGAAAAAGTTTTAAACTAAAAAACATCTTTAAGGGGCCGATTGTTCCATTTTCCAAAACTTTGTGATAATTTATCTATTGGATAAACAAAAGAGTAAAATAGTAAGAGCATAAGAAAGTCAGTGAGCTGAAGTTTATCGAAAGGTGGAACAACTCAGCCTAAATGTTTAAAAAATAGAAAGAAGAACATTTTAATAGCTTAAAATTAAACACTTCTTTTTCAGTGTATAAAAGAATTGAGTAAGGTATATTATATTTTATGTAATATATTTTATAATTTATAGAAAAGCAGATTAAAGATTGAAGTAATTGATAATTTAAAAAATTGAAATAATTTGCTCTTTATGTAGGAATTATTCCCATCGGCGAAATACAAATTTAAAAACGAGGAGGATTGCTATCAGCTCGTTATTTCTGGGCCCAAAGTCGAAGACACTGGAAAATATACGATCGAAATTGCTGGCGTATCCAGCACAGCTTTTCTCAATGTAGATGGTACGTGACATAGTTTGAATAAATCTTCTTTTTAAGAATCAAACTTTTACACTACATAAATTTTATATTTTGAAATTCCTTTAATTTCAGAACCTGATCCAACGTATACCTTCCTAAAGCCGTTATCGAAAAAGACTAGCGGCTTTACAAAGCACGAAGCTTACATGGAATGTACAGTTAGTTCTAATATGGCGCAAATTTCCTGGTACAAAGGCAAAACGAAACTCGAGGTAATTTATTACACTGAAAATTTGAAATATTTAATATTTGTAACGTTGCAGTATTTAAAAAATTCCATTATTATTTTTTTTAGGATGGAGATCAGTATAGTATTTCCAAAGATATGTCTGGCGTGTGCCGGCTGGCGATCAGGAGCGCAACTCTCGAAGATAGTGGTGAATACACTTGCAAGATAAACAAGCAGACGGACAAGACCGAAACCATACTCACTATAGTCGGTAGGTATTATTTAAAAAAAACTATAATAATTCAATTATAATTTTTTATTTACAAAACTTTAAACGTACATGAAACTTTATATATTTATATATACACATATATATACACATATATATACACATATATATATATATTTTTTTTTAGAATATCCTTACAAGTTCGTCAAAGTACTGAAACACCAGCAGTTGATAGAAAAGGAAACCTTGACATTACTTTGCGAACTGGATGATGCCGCAGGTGAAGTCCAATGGTTCAAGGGTGACCAAGCAATTACGCCTGACAAAAGGTACCTTTTTACATAATTTTTTATTTTAAGAATATTTTTTTAATAAATAATTTCTGTACTAGAATACAAATTAAGGAAGAAGGCAGGAAACGAAAGCTCACTATTAAAGATTGTAAAGTCACCGATGCCGGACTTTACTCTTGCGTGAGTAATGCAGACAAGACCGAAGCTGAAATTGTGATAAACTGTAAATATAACATTTTTTAATTTAATTTTTTGACTGCTCTTAGAAAAAAGATTATATGGTTATGTAAAATTATATTTCTCGAAAATTATAGATGCCAATCGCTTCAACAAGAAGTTGAAGGATACTGTCGCGGTAGAAAGAGAGAAGTTGGTGCTAGACGTCGAACTTCAAGATCAGACCGCGCCAGCAGTATTCTATTTTAACGGCGAGAAGATCGAACCTAATGAGAGAGTGGAGATCAAGAATTTGGGCGGCGGTAAACACCAGTTGATCTTCAATAAGTTGGAAATGACAGACGATGGCGAGATCATGTGCGAGAGTGGTCAGCTAACTAGCAGCTGTAAACTCACTGTGAGGAACGGCGAAAGCAAACCGATCGTTGACTTCCCCGACAAAGTCGAAGGACCCTGCAGCGCTCCATTGGTCTTTGTCGTGCCTTTCAAAAGTAAGGACTCACGTCTTATATATAATGTGATAAAATTTGATGTAAAAATGTATTGTAAAATGGAAAATTTATTTTTGAAATTTGTAGTTGATGGCACCAAGCAGAGTCAAGTGGAAGCGAAACTGATGAAAGACGGCAAACCTCTACCTCTCAAGGACGTTGAAATTGTCGTTGGTGAGGATAAAATCACATATAAAATCAAGAAACCTCAACGCGAAGCGTCTGGTATCTACCAGATTAAAATTGGCAATAACCAAGGTGAAGAAGTAAAGGATGTCAATATTGTTATGCAAGGTTTGTACTTTTATAAATTTTTTTGTACGTAAAATAATATGTCTTATTAGGTGTTGGAATTAATTCGTAGCGTTTTACAAGTGATGGGAAGTACTTTCATTAATGTATTTTTTAATGCTCATGTGAAATAAATAACATTCTTTCATTAAAAAACGCTACGAATTAATTCCAACACCTAATATTTTGTCGTATTTATTAATTATTCTTTCAGACGTTCCATCTGCACCGTACGACGTTGAAGTTAATGAGATTTTCCAAAATTCCTGCGTCGTGTCCTTCAAACCGTCGAAGGATGATGGCGGTGCACCCATCATGAAATATGTTATTGAACGTCTCGATCTTAGCTTAAAGTCTCAATGGGATAGCGTGGGTGAAGTCATGTCGGGCGAAAAATGTGTCTACAAAGTCGAAGATCTAATTGCGAAGAGGGAATACAAGTTCCGCATACGAGCAGTGAATAAACTCGGTTCCAGCGAACCGGCAATGTTCGGCAAACCAGTCTTAGCCAAGGATCCATGGGGTAAATTTTATCGCAAATTAATTGATTTTTTTTTATGTAGAAATTAATATTATCTTCTACAATAAAATTTATATCTTCTCAAAAATTAAAGGAGATAACAAAATGATCTTAGATGTAAAAATTAATTATAAAAATTTAATTTCACTATTTGGATGTTGATTTGGTGATTCGTAAATATAAATTAGAGTAAAAGAAGTAAATGAAGATATTCTTGTGTCTTTTAGATGAACCAGGCAAACCCACAAATGTCGACGTAACTGATTGGGACAAGGATCACGCTGATCTGACATGGACAAAGCCCGAAAATGATGGCGGTGCTCCGATTACTGGCTATATAATCGAGTACAAGGAGAAGTTTGGCAAAGAATGGGTAACGGGCAAGGAGATTGAAGGTGACGTAACTCAGGCGACTATTGACGGTCTCAAAGAAGGCACGCAGTATGAATTTAGGATACGAGCAGTAAACAAGGCAGGTCCTGGTGAACCGTCTGATGCCACTAAACCAATTATCGCCAAGTGCCGATTTGTTAAGCCATACATTGTCGGCGATGGTCTTACAAACTTAGTCGTCAAAAAAGGCCAAGTCATTAAGTACGATATCAAGTACGCTGGTGAGCCAGAACCAGAAGTGCACTGGTTCCTGGGCCAGAAGGAGATAATCCAGGATACGGCCGAAAGAGTCACGATCGACAAATACGAGAGAAATACCGTATTGACAGTTAGGAAGACCACCAGACCTGATTCCGGAAAATATAAATTGGTATTGACGAACAGTTCTGGCACCTGCGAAAGCATTGCCGACGTTGTTGTTCTTGGTGAGTTAATGGCATCTTTTAATATCTCAAAATTCTTTCAAACTAAAAATTTTTTTAATTAACATCTTTCTTAATTAAATTAAAATAAATTTTAAAGGAAATTGTACGCAAAAATTTACAATAAAGAATATATATTTTAATGAGAAAATAAAATATTTTTTTAGTTAATTAAAAGAAATTACAAATTTGAGGGTAAAAAATAATTAATTCAAATTTATTGGCGAAAAAATATTTATTTCATCGCTTAATTTTTTAATTGCAGAATATTATTCGAAAATTGTGTTACATTATATAAATTTATTATCTTTTTACAGACAAGCCGTCAATTCCGCAAGGACCTCTCAAAGTGGAGGAAGTCCGCTCCGATCATGTTAAAGTTAAGTGGGATACGCCGGAGGATAATGGCGGTACCGATATCACAGGCTATGTATTGGAAAAGATGGATCTGGATACTGGACGATGGATTCCTGCAGGAGAAACTGGCCCCAATGAGAAGGTTTTCACGTTCTCTGGTCTAACGCCCAAGAAGAAATATAAGTTCCGTGTCAAAGCGGTCAATAAGGAAGGCGAATCCGAACCTTTGGAGGTCGAAGAAGCCATTGTCGCGAAAAATCCTTACGGTAAAAAGATATCTAACATTTCTAATAATTAATAGTTTTTCTGGATGAAAAACTAGAAAATAGATAACAAAACTATAAAGATTATGCGTTTCGCGGGTTTTTTTCGTGATCCATTTTTGGAATGCCAACGTTTCGTGAATCTTACAGTCCACTTCATCAAGGTGAGGAGTAGCCTGATACAGTATCTGATAAGAAAATTCCGCGAAATGCATAATCTTTATATAGAAAGTGGAAGCCCGTGGAAGAATATTATCAGGTAAAAAACCTATTAAGTAGACAGAAATTAATGTTTAAAATAAAATTTGATAACATAAATATTGTTAATTTAATTTGATTAATTTAATTTAATTAGGTAGTGTTAATGAAGTGATGTTTAGAGACAATTTTATATAATATTTTCGACAGATGAGCCCGGCAAACCTGGCAAGCCGCAAATCTTTGATTATGATAACGTCAGTGTATCTTTGAAATGGGAGAAACCGCAGAACGACGGTGGCAGACCAATCACTCATTATACTGTCGAGATAAAGGACAAATTCGCTGTCGACTGGGTTGAGGTAATGAAGACTACCGACTCAACACCTGAGGCTAAAGTCGAAGGCCTTAAAGAAAAGATGGTGTATCAATTTCGCGTTCGCGCTCACAATAAGGCCGGTTCTAGCGAACCAAGCGAACCTACAGACAATCATCTGTGCAAACACCGAAATTGTAAGTTAAAATTACTATGGTTCATAAGTTTTATTGTCATATAGAATTGACGGAATTTCCAATTATTAGTATTGATGATTAACCCTCCTGAGAATTTTATGTTGGTCACACAGACAAAATGACTCCAACGTTTTAATTGATTGCTGTATTTATAGCTTTGTTCTTTAAAATCACAAAAATTACTGAACATATTTTAAACATTATAGAATATTGAAATGTAATGACTTTTTAAAGTTTTTAATTTTAACACACACACACACACACACACACACACACAAAACTCAAAGATTAACCAAGGAACAATATGCAGCCGAAGACGCAAAAAAGGGTATTGTATTTTAAACTTCGGATAAATGACAGTTTAAGTCTCGTTTTAAAAAAAGACTCTGGAAATACAAAGTCTCACATCTTTTTGAGATCCTCTGGATCTCCAATAACCACTAAGGGTTAAAAGATTTTTTACAGCATTGTTAATACTTATCAAAATTATTGCAATTATTGGAAAACTATTGCAGTTAGTTCTTAAAATAACTATTGCAGTTAGTTCTTAAAATTGGGAAAATTTTTAGTGAGACCGAGAATCGACCGAACCAATTTCAAATCTATCATCATCAAAGCTGGTCGCACCCATAAATGGTCTGTGGATGTATCTGGTGAACCTCCACCGGAGACCAGATGGATATGGAGAGATAACATCCCATTAACTACCACTGAGCGCATTAAGATCGAGAATGTCGATTATCACACGGACTTTACGATCGTAAATGCAATGCGTAAAGATACCGGAAAGTACACGCTTATTGCTGAGAATGCTAATGGCAAAGACGAAGAAACTGTCGAACTTACCGTACTCGGTAAGTCCAATTTTCAAATTCTTTTTACAACGTTTTGTGTATAAGAATATTTATCAATATTTAATAAACTCATTGATTAATTTAATATTTTTTTTTTTTTTAGTATCAGTTGCACGAATCGATTTTTAGATAGAAAAGAGTCGATCTTAAAAAAGAAAAGGATCTTAATATAGCAAAATTTTTTCTTGCAGGAAAACCGGATGCTCCTAAAGGACCTCTAGAAGTCAGTGATGTCACTAATACCTCGGCGAAGGTGAAATGGGAGAAACCAGAGGATGATGGTGGTGTGCCAATCAAAGAGTACGAAATCGAGAAGATGGACACAAAAACTGGTAAATGGGTCAGAGTCGGCAAAGTGCCCGGAAATTCGCCGAATACTGAATTTGAAGTTACTGGGTTGAATCCTGGAAGCGAATACAAGTTCCGCGTAACAGCTGTCAATGACGAGGGTGATTCGGAGCCTCTAGAGAGTGAACGTGGTGTTATTGCCAAGAATCCTTACGGTATATTGATTATTTTCTTTATATATAATTAAGCAATGTGTACCTAATGTTTATCTTAATAATTCAAAAAATATTAATATAACAGGATATTCAGAATTTCAATGTCAAAACTTCGGAAGTATATAGGGAATCAATAAACTAAAAAAAAAAGTAGAAATATGCTCGTTTTGCTTCGTTTTGAAGAAAATCGCAAAAAAGACAAAAATGTAATTGCTCGTTCTCGTATTGTCTCTGAAGTATTATCGTCGCTGAAATTGTGCACGAAATGTTTGTTTACATTTTTATTTTTCTCCTGTAAATTCGTTAGTTACTTGTCAAAAGTCATCGAGCGAATTACTCCTGTCACAATATGACGCGTACATATTCTAACATTGAGTATAAATTTCGTGTATGGCTTCTGCGACAGTAATGCTGATGGTAATGACGATAATGCAAGAAGTCAACATTTTGAATAATATTTACATTAAGCAAGTGAATAAATACAATGTGAATAAGTAATGAGAAAGTATAAAAATGAAAATTATTTTGTCTTTAATTGCGCACTGGTGCGTATTAAAGCCGTTGTACACTGCTTTAAGTATAAAAGTGAAATATAAATATTTCGAATTATAAAATACATATTTTACTTAATAATACAATAAAATGTGAGTATTTTAGGATTTAATCGATTTCTATGTTTATGTATAAACATATCTTTATGTTATTTGCGTACAATAGCTTTAATGTGTATCAGTGCTGAGTGCATCCAATCGAATTCGCTATTAGTTTATCAATCCTCTACACATTTTCAAAGTTTTGACATTTAAATTCCAAATACCCTGTATATAGAAATTACTTTATTAATAATTTCTTTGATTATATTAGGTGTTGGAATTAATTCGTAGCGTTTTACAAGTGATGGGAAGTACTTTCATTAATGTATTTTTTAATGCTCATGTGAAATAAATAACATTCTTTCATTAAAAAACGCTACGAATTAATTCCAACACCTAATATAATATAAAGTCAATTTTTTAAATTAAGAAGTTAATTAATACGTTTCAACTTTTTGTTTATTATTTCTTTAAAATTTTAATTAAACATTTATTTATTAAATTCTAGAATAAAATTTGAAAATTTCTTTTCAGATGAACCTTTGAAGCCTGGAACGCCCGAAATCACCGATTACGATAATGAATCTGTAAGTTTAAAATGGGCTCCACCAGAATTCGATGGAGGAGCGCCTATCGAAAAATATATTATCGAGAAAAAAGATCGGTACAAGCCTGATTGGGAAAAGGCTATCGAAGTACCTGGAAATCAACTTGAGGGCAAAGTACCAGATTTAAAGGAAAGAGGCGAGTATCAGTTCCGAGTTATCGCCGTAAACAAAGCTGGACCCTCGCCTCCGTCCGACGCGTCAAAGATGCAGATCTGCAAACACAAAGCTCGTAAGTTTCTATCAAATATACAATAATTATAATATAATTATAATTAACGCATGAGTCTTATATGAAAAATGTTTACAATTAATAAACATTATAATTAATAATATAATTAATTAAGAAAAAGAATTGTAGAGAAACATTTAAAGATTTATTTTTATTACAATATATAAAAAATAATATTTTGTTGTATAATTTCGCTCATTTCACTAGTGAAGCCGAGAATCGACAGAACGAACTTGAAACCGATCGTCGTACGAGCCGGTAAAACTGTTAAGTACGACATAGATGTACGTGGCGAACCACCGCCGGAAATCAAATGGTATCACGTCGGCAATGAAGTAAAATCCGGTGAGAACATTGAAATCATCAATGTTGATTACAACACGAAGCTTACTATTACCGACAGCTTGCGCAAAAATACTGGCGTATGGAAGATCAAGGCTATCAATCCTCATGGTGAAGATGAAGCGGAAGTTGAAGTAACGATATTATGTGAGTGGCAATATATAAAATTTTTGTAACTGGCAGAATATAAATTATGAAATTCTTTTCTCTTTTTTTTTTAAATTATTAATATAATGTTTCTTGTGTACAGCGGCTCCCGGAAAGCCAAAAGGACCGCTCAAAGTGGCGGATGTCACGAAGAACAGTTGCAAACTCAAATGGGGCAAACCGGAAGACGATGGTGGCAAACCGGTAAGTGGATACCAAGTGGAGAAATTGGATAAATCGACAGGCAGATGGATACCAGTTGGTCGTACCGCGGATACCGAGATGGACGTAAAAGGTCTTCAGGAAGGACATGAGTATGAGTTTAGAGTAAAAGCTCTAAATGAAGAAGGAGAGTCGGAGCCACTTGTGTCAGATGGCTCTACACTTGCAAAGAACCCTTATGGTAAATTGAATAGTAATATTAAATAAATAAACAATTTTTTTAAAACAAAATTATTCAAAAGTAACAATTGATATTAAATATAATAACTTTCTAAAAAGTATAGTTATTATTAAAGTATAATTTAATATAAAATAAATAATTTATGATTATATCATTTTCACAGCTTAATTAAAATATTCTGCAATATTACTTAATACTTTTTTGTAGCAGTAAATCAAATGTTTTTTACAGATGTTACAAGTAAGCCTGGAACACCGGAACTCGAAGATTGGGACGTCGATCGCGTTGATCTCAAATGGGAACCTCCAAAAGATACTGGCGGTGCGCCAATCACCGGTTACATTATTGAAAAGAAGGAGAAACCTTCTTCGCAATGGGAGGAAGCTCTTGTCACCGATTCGCCACAACCAAAAGGTCGTGTTACCGGCTTGAAAAAAGGTTCCACTTATCAGTTCCGTGTTCGAGCTGTTAACAAGGCTGGACCATCGGAGCCTAGCGACCCGACTAAGCCGCACGTTGCAAAAGCAAGATTCTGTGAGTATCTCAATCTGATTAACAAATTACAATAGAAATTTTATAGGCTCTAATGAATTAAATCAATTAAGAATGACAAATCTTTGAGAGCCAATGCTGCATTACACTAGACGGAAGTTCATCAATTACATATTTATACTGAAGAGGATCCAAACCAGGGATCGAAAAGTTTTACTCATTTAATTTGTTACATACAATAAAACTTGATTGTAATTATATCCAGCATTGGCTTTCAAAAACTTGTTATTCTCAATTGATTTAACAAATTACAATTAAATATAACTTGTTATTATATACGAAAAGCTCAAAATACTTAATAATTCTAAATTAGAAAAATTATAATCTATAATTATATAATTTTAATTTTATTTTTAATTTCTATTCTGATTTAAATTAAGATCTCTAATGTCAGAATTTAATTTATTGTATTTCATACAAAGTGAGAAACATGAATAAATATTGGAATGGCATATTAATTATTACGAAATAATTTAAGATAATATTACATAAAAATTGTTTTTTGTAGTGAAACCGCACATCAACCGTGATAAGTTGCAGACTATCAAAGTAAGAGCAGGTCAACTAGTGAAGTTGGAAGTTGATATCGAAGGTGAACCTCCTCCAACAGTTACATGGAGTTTTGCTGGTGCACCACTTCAAACTGGAGCCAATGTTAAAATTGATAACGAAGATTACCTCACTAAGATTCAGTTAACAAATACCAGTCGAAAGTTAACTGGAAAATATACTATCAAGGCTGTGAACGATTCCGGACAAGATGAGGCTGATGTAGAAATTAATATTCTTGGTGAGTAAACTTGAATATATAAGTATATTGTATCCACATCTCTATTTTAACTTAAAAATAAAACAAAACGATTATATATATATTTTATAATATTTTATAATACATATGTACTGTAAAATACTTGATTTCATATTGAAATAAGAAATGCATAACGTAAACAAATTTTTTAGAATATCTTTTAAGTGAAATAATGAATGTTTAAAGATTCAAATTATATTAGACTAAGTTGTTAAACTAAATGCACAATTATACAATATAATATGTATTTATGTTGTAAAACTTATTATGTAATTTTGTAGATAAGCCTGGAAAGCCGGAAGGACCATTGGAAGTGAGCGACGTGCACAAGGAGGGCTGCAAATTGAAGTGGAGCAAGCCGAAAGACGATGGTGGACTTCCCCTGTCCAGTTACATAGTAGAAAAGATGGATGTGACGACAGGTCGTTGGGTACCAGCCGGTATCGTGGACCCTAATAAAACTGAACACGCAGTTACCGGTTTGGAACCTGGCCATAAGTACGAATTCCGTGTGAAGGCTGTGAACGAAGAGGGAGAATCAGAACCTCTGCAAACCGACGTTGGCATCGTAGCTAAGAATCCATACGGTATAGTATTCTAATGTTGATTACAATGTTCATACACATATTTATTTTTATACGTTATTTTTATATATTATTCTATTTTAGATTAAGTATAATATTACAATACAACCAGGCAATTAAGAGCTTATACATAGTTGTCACGTCTATATTCTTAATTTATATTACAGGTTAATAATTAGCATTATATTTAAAAAAAAATTATATAATATAGTTGTCTCGATATATCACTCGTATATTTGTTAAATTGACTTTATTTTTGTATTTATTGAATTTTAACGTTATATTGATCTACGCATCATATCATAATTTTAAATGTTATTTAAATTCTGACGAAGACACAGGTCTAATCGACAAATTTTTATATAATTTTGATTTCAAGTTGTAACTGAATGGAGGTGCAATTTATTTAGTATAATCGGTGAGTTTTTTTTAGATTTAATGAATATAGAATGCAGTTCAGTAACATAAATGAATCTTTGTATTTAGATCTTACCAACTTTTGAATTGTAAGAAGAGTGTTTTCACATAATCAAATGGAGAATTATTTGAAGATTGCACCTACATTCGCAATTATAGCATGTTACGGATTTATTGGTGGATGTAATACCTTGAAGAAGGCTGAAAAAAAAACAAATGACCGAAATGATGGAATTGTATGTAGAAATGAAGAATAAAAATTAATTGTCAACGCACATTTATAACAACTGTATAAACTCTTAATTGCCTGATTGTATTGTAATATTATTTTTAATATTGAGAGCTTGATAAATTTATTGTTTAGATTAAGTAATTTTAGAAACATACATCAGCTATAGATATTTTTCTTACTTTTCAGAAAAATTATAATAATTAAGAATTTATAAATACGGATAGTACTAATTTCATAATTAAATTTGTTACAGATATGTAGCAAATATTGTTTTAATAATTATGAATAATATGCTTGTTTCTTTTTCTGATAGTAAATAAACAAACATTATATTACGATACAATATCAAATAAAGAAGATGATTTAAAAATTTATTTATTTAGTTATATCGTTTATTTTATAATTTTTTTAATTATTAAAAGAGAACAAGCAAAAAAGCTTACGACATACTTCATGAAATATTTTAGATGCCCCAGCGGCGCCTGGACTTCCAGAGATTGTCGATTGGTCGGAGAATATGGTAAAGCTTAAGTGGGAACCACCAATAAGAGACGGCGGTGCACCAATTACTGGATATATCATTGAAATGAAGGATAAATTCGGTACTAATTTCGTCAAGGCTGCTGAAGTGCATGGGCCCGTATGTACTGGCACAGTTCCACGTTTAGAAGAAGGCAATCAGTATCAATTCAGAGTACGCGCCATTAATAAAGCTGGACCTGGTGAACCTAGCGAGGCTACCAATCCGCACACCGCTAAAGCTCGTTGGCGTAAGTATTACGTCATTTTAATAAATTACAGTCCTTTATCAAAAAGATTATAAATGTAAATGTATATTGCTTATTAAAGAAATAATTGTATACATGATATTTTATGTAAAATTATTTATTAAAACTTATTTAAATTCAATTTTTTAAATTTATTTATATAAAAATCTATTTATATAAAAATTTATATAAATTTATATAAATTTATCGATATCTGATTTTTTCATTTTTATTTTGCAGTGAAACCGTATATTGATCGCACGAATCTGCAACCCATAACGGTAAAAGTTGGCCTTACTGTAAGTTTGGATGTAAACATAATTGGCGAGCCGCCGCCAAAAGTTACTTGGACCTTCAAAGATAAGGAACTCGTATCGGATGACACGATACGAATCGACAATGTTGATTACAATACGAAATTCTTTATACTAAAAACTAAACGCGCACATACTGGCAAATACGTGATCAACGCGAAGAACGAAGTCGGCGAGGATACTGCTGAAGTAGAAATCACTGTTCTTGGCAAGCCCAGCAAGCCAAAAGTAAAAATTTTACATTATATGATTATCAATACTATTAATAATTATTCATTACTAATTGTAATTATTTTAATTATTCTAATTATCATTGTCTAGCTTATAAATTTTTTGTCTTGATAATCTTATTAAATATCTTGTTTATAATTCAGGGACCTTTGGAAGTGAGCGATGTTAACAAGCATGGCTGCAAACTCAAATGGGACAAACCCGAAGATGATGGTGGTTCACCGGTCGAATACTATGAGATCGAGAAGCTGGATCCTCTTACAGGACAATGGGTACCTTGTGGTCGTAGTACCGAACCTGAAGCAACCATTACAGGATTGCAGGAAGGTAAACCATATAAATTCCGCGTGAAAGCTGTCAATAGAGAAGGAGAATCCGATGATTTGGAAGCTGACAAGTCCATCATAGCCAAAAATCCATTCGGTATGTATTCGAATTCTGGAAAATTTTAGTTTAAAACTTAAAACCTTAATTACTTTCGATTTTAGATGAACCGGGTAAACCTGGTCGACCAGAACTCAAGAACTGGGACAAGGACTTCGTCGATCTCGAATGGACTCCTCCTAAGGATGACGGTGGTGCGCCAATCGAGAAGTATATTGTGCAGATGCGAGATAAAGAAGGCAGACAATGGGTGGATGTTGCTAAGGTTCCGGGAGACCGAACGGCCGCTAAAGTGACTGACGGTATCCAGGAGGGTCATGAATACGAGTTTAGGATCGTGGCGGTCAATAAAGCTGGACCTGGCGAGCCTAGTGATACTTCAAAAAGCGTCGTGGCTAAACCTCGATTCTGTAAGCATCATATATATAACTTTATTGTTTTATTGTTAGATAAATTTATTTCCTGTAGTATAATAATAATTATCTATCTAATTTTACTGTTCTTAGTGGCACCGCATATTGATCGTAAAAATCTCCACAAGAAAGTCATGCGAATTGGCCAGATGCTGCGACTTGAGGCTGACATCAAGGGTGAGCCGCCACCAGTTGTTACGTGGAAACTTAAGGATAAAGTGCTAAAGAGCATGGACCGACTCAAGATTGAGAACGAGGATTATCATACTATGTTCATCCTCAATAAGCTTCAGCGTTCGGATACCGGCACGTACACTGTTATTGCCAAGAATGATAGTGGCACTGATCAGGTCGACGTCGAGCTTCAGGTTTGTATGACAACTACTTTGCAAATTTAATTATGTAAATTAAATTCCGTTAAGAATATGGAATTGTTTGTTAGAACATCAGTTAAATATAATTGTTAAATATAATTAATTGTTTATTTAATGTTTATCAGGTTCTAAGTAAGCCTGGCAAACCGAAAGGACCACTTGAAGTGTCCAATGTGACGGCCGAGGGTTGTAAGCTGAAATGGGATAAACCCGATGATGACGGTGGCGAACCGGTTGATCATTATGTTATCGAAAGAATGGATGTGGACACTGGACGTTGGGTACCATGCGGTACCAGCAAAACTCCAGAAGCAGACGTGTCCGGATTAAACGAGGGCAAGGATTATCAATTCCGTGTCAAAGCTGTTAACTCCGAGGGCGAATCCGAACCTTTAGAAACGTCCATACCGACAACCGCCAAAAATCCTTATTGTAAACATTTTATTTTTATTACTCTTTATAATTAATTTTTTTAAATTCTTTTAATTATATTATAACATCTTAAAAAATATAATAAAATATTTTTAAACATTTACTTCTAATTACAGCTGAACCCGATGCGCCCGGCAAACCTGAATTGAAGGACTGGTCGAAGAATCATGTTGACTTGAAATGGAAAGCCCCGAAGAAGGATGGCGGTGCACCAATTGAAAAATATATCATTGAAAAGAAAGATCAGTATGGCAAATGGCAGAAAGCTGCAGAAGTTCCGGGTAACAAAACCGAAGCCAAAGTACCAGATCTTGTGGAGGGTCAAAAATATCAATTTCGAATTAAGGCCGTGAACAAAGGTGGCCAGAGCAAGCCCAGCGAGCCCAGCGAAACTTTGATTGCCAAGGATCGCTACGCCGCACCTAAGATCGATCGCACAAACCTGAAGGATATCACAATCAAGGCCGGTAATGTCATTCGGCTAGACGTTAAAGTTACGGGTGAACCACCGCCAAGCAAGACCTGGTTCCTGAACAAGGCTAAGCAGGAATCTGGCAACGTCTTGACTATCGAAACGGAGGATTACAAGACCAAGTTCGTGGTCTCATCGGCGACCAGGGCGCATTGTGGCACGTTGACTTTGAAGGCGGAGAATAGTTCCGGCAAAGATGAGGCATCCATCGAGATTCTAGTACTGGACAAACCTAGCAAACCTGAAGGACCGCTCAAGGTTTCCGACGTACATAAGGAGGGCTGTACTCTCAAATGGAATCCACCAGCGGATGATGGTGGTGCACCTTTGGATCACTATGTGGTCGAAAAGATGGATACAGAAACCGGTAGATGGATACCTGTCGCACGCACTAAGGAACCCACAATGGAGGTAGAGAATTTGGTGCCCGGACAAGAATACAAGTTCCGAGTTGCGGCTGTAAACGCGGAAGGCGAATCCGAACCATTGGAGACCGAGCATGGAATCGTTGCCAAGAATCCATTTGGTGAGATTTCTAATTTTTTAAATCTATAGTATCTTTTTATTTAACTTTAATTTAAATGAGAACTGAAAAAATGAAAAGGGGGAATATTATTTAATTATGAGAGAAAGAAATAAAATATAATAAATATAATTCTTAAAAACAAGCGAAAAAAAGGTTAATTTTACACAAGTAAAAAATAATATTTACCGAAAGGTTGCTCCACCGGTGCCTGATGTCTCTCCCAGACCTCCACCTCCTCTCAGCACATGGTTGTCATCCTCTCGCACAGGACACTCGCGTACAACACTCGCGATAATACACTATAATCGCGCGCGGACTATGACTTGAGTCCGAACTTGAACGGCACTCCCGAAACGCACGACGCGACGAACCGGCTGCGGGTCGTATATTTTCAAGTAAATCGGCGACGAGGGTACGTTAGCTTCCCCGTTGG